GTGCCTGATTAGTAGAATCTGCCTTCTCCGTGTGGGGAGGGTTTAGCTGTTTGACCAGCCCACCCCTCCTCTGGCCACTTAGTCATGAAGACGATGTAGGCAACCTATACCTGCCTCTATTTTCTTCTAAAGCCTACCACATATGCCTTCATCAAATCTCCCACGTACAACGGAAAAGTACTGCAAGAATTAGCCTAGAATTCACCTGACTGTCTTGCTGGGTTTTTATAATTCCGATTTCGAAGGTGCTCTACTTACACTTTGAAGCGACCGATGAACAAGTACGGGCCCTTAATTACTAGAGGCGTACTCTTAGTTGACAAGAGCTGTGGGCATATGCGTTTATCCGTTGAACACGCTTATTTTCCTGTTCGTCATCTGTCGCTGATTGGTAGAGGTAGGGGGGGAGGTGGATAGGGGAAGTTAGAGAACATCGCTTTACCCCACTCGGCCCCATCCCTTCCGGTAGCTGTGCTGCTCTTTCCTCCCCCTCTCCCCGTCCGTAAATCAATTCAACGCCCACACGTCTTTTTGCGCTTTTATGCACCTGTAAATGCTATCAAATAGGCGCCTAATTGCGCTCGTTTACAACTGTTTTGTCCATCCCTTCCCCCACCGCTACACTTTGGCTCCTCTAACCATTTGGTGGCTAAAGTGCTCGTACCTTCCTCTAATTGTGCACACTTCTTTTGAGACGGTAGACTTCAGGGTTCCGATGACTGAACGAAACCGACTGTAATGTCTTAAACCAATACTGAGCTTGTATTTCGTTCATCCTTCAATGTATGATATTGTGGTGGCCCTATGGATTAGGAAGAACTTGCGGACAACGTGTGAAGTGATAGATACCTTGTGCTACCAGATGTAATTTTCAGTTCAAACCGCGATCTTCCTGGCCTATTCTTCTCGTTATCTGAAGTGTCCAGAGCAGTGAGTCAGCTAGCGTGCTCGCCTGTCTGCTTGTCTGTATGCGTGATTTCGTGTGTGGTAATTTTTGCGTGTGTAGGCATAGTTACCATCTCCCTATTCCTTCGTCGTCTCAACTCAATCCGGTGTATGATTTTACTTGAGTGCACCTGCAGATTAGCCAACGTTACTCGACATATTCAGAACTTTGTTGAATTATCGAGACGCTTCGCTTATTAGGCCTTGAGTGATGGGCACAAGTATCTACAAGTGGTTGTTGTTAGTGTTACAGGAAAATCATGGTCACAGACATCAGATTTTGAACACTGTAACATGGTGGGATGATTTTTCGCTTAGGATCTTGTGTATCTAAATATATGTAGGTTATTGCACTACCAGCAAGTTTGTACAGTATGTCATTCTGGCGAGGTAGTTTGGGATGTTTTATGCACTCACATCTCGGTTAAGAGACGTGTGTGTATTCACCTTAGGGCAATAGATATTGGCCATCTACTCCGACGTTACTTCTCTCCCTCCCCACGACAAGAAAGGCTGACGGAGTGCAAAGCTGACACGGGTCAAATTTTTTTTTGAGAGGGAGGCAGGGAGGCGGCGAAAAGATGCGAACTACCAATCTCAGTCCTGGCCGTAGATTCCCTTCGTCATGCCTAAGCCACCTTACAGCCATGCAGGCAGTGGTAGCAGTAGCGGTCGTCATCACAACTTGTGGCTGACTAATCAGCCGCCCCCTCCCTTTCCACATCCTCCTCCCTTGTTTTCCCCCTTTGTGCATCAAAAGAAGGTGCGCAGCTTGCGGGTCTACTGTTCCGTGCTTTCCACACGGGGAACTCTGTCGTGTGAATGAAATTAACTACCCTGCCTTGTCTAGCCTAGTCTTTCATACTCGCCAAATCATGTGGCCAAAGTAACCAAACTTGCCTCTTTCGGCGTCAAGGCCCGTTCTCAGCAAGCTTTTTTTTTCAAACCAAGCTGATGGATATGCATAGGGAACGTTACAATCCTTCTTAACCTCGTTTCGCAATAGACAAGCGATTTGGTCAGTTGAGTAGCGGTAACTCGTTTTATTAGCTTGCCCGCCTTTGGAGTGTAACTTTTCTACACCGAAAAATTCGTTTATGAGTTTGTTGTGGTTGCACATGAAGGTGCGTTTTTCTAGAGGCTTTATGCAAAATTCTCACAAACTACTTTTTATGAGGTTTGGATAACCTTAGCATTTTTAACACCCGGGATTTTTTGTACAAAACTGGGCCAATATCTATTGACGTTCGGGTCGTGAGATAAGCTCTGTCAAGATTGCCTGATATTTTGACAGTTCTTTTCTGGAAATCTAGACTTTCAATTACCGCGAAAATAGACAGACATTCTGCCTTGACATATCATCCCGAAGGCGTTGAGTTGACCTCCATTTTGAGTTCTTTTCAAATAACCAACAAAATAAAATATTTATGGTTAGCCTGTTGGAGTGCTTCTGTGCGCTTTATTAACCTGATGTATCTTTAGCTGTTATTAATGTCTTGCCTTCCAAGGTGCACGATTGTGCCTTTTAGACGTCCTTTACTCGGCAGAGCAAGTATCTCCAATTTTGGGTTTTCAAAGTTCAATGGGTGTGTCTTATCTTCTTGATTGCTACGGTTCAGCCGTCGCTCTTGTTCCACTCATTCCAGAATTTTTGAGTCCTCGTGTCAACATGCTTCAACTAATGCTCATTAGTTTTTCCTTTTTTTATTTAAAAATATACCAGTTTTTGGTTTTAGTCACCATATTCCACGGTAAAAAGGCATCGACTCAGAAATCTGCATCACTTTCCCATTCGCTAATGAGGGGTTTTAAAGGCTGCTCTTTTGATGGTTGTTGCGCGCCATGATATCTGAGTGGGAAGATGTTTTGGCGGGAGTTATTTACGTGCTGCTCTTAAACCCCACCCTTTTCCATCTTACTCGTTCACTCAGTGGACGAACAACAATAATAAGAGACGGGTGGAGAGCTACCAAAGGGGTGTCAAGGCTTGTTTACTGCCCACGTCTAGCATCGATAGCGTTTCAAAGGTTAGAATCGGGGTTTTAACCCGCTACTGGTAAATAATCGCTTCTGCGCCTTATAAACAACCATATTTGGAGGTTTTGATAGAAGTGGTTTTATTCATTGAGCCTTATCTGGGGTATTATGGGCGATCATTAGCAAGGCCATGTGTGTGCACTTTGTTAAAGGCAGTAGCCATCCCAGAAGCGAGCTTTGTTTGAATGTGTCAAACTAGTTTACTGTCCACCGAGATACTACTTGGTTTAAATTCTTCCGTGTACATAAGGAAAGTGTACTACGGCGATTTGTGTTGGATTTTCGGAACTTTTTATTAGCAATTTCCAATAGATGCAATGCAAAACTATCTTGAACCATCTGTCATTGCTTCATTAAGTTTGGCAGAATCTGAGTTACTTCAAAATTCATTCACTTTTACTGACTCATTGCCAGGAAGCAGTATTTTAGTCGCGTGAGCACAAAATGGGCCCAGTTCCTTCCGGTTGTGTAGTGATCTCTATTGCCACAACCATGTTTCTTCCACTAGGCATCTTGGTTTTTCAATAGCTGCTGCCCCTACATTGACAGGGGCCATTGTTTTTGCCAAACGGCTCTTCTGGTATATTATACTGTGGGGAGTACTTTTACCCATCAATTTGCTGTATCGGTGTCCTGACAGCTTCGTCTCGGACTGTTTACTTCCAAAACAAGCAAGAAAACTGCTTTAAAATTCTCTACTGTAGATTGGGTGTTATGGATTTCTGGTCTGGATTCTTGCCTTTTTCCCGTTGTCAACCTCAACTGCTCTCTCGGGTGTGGTAACGCCTTAACTTCAATTGCTTTATTACTTATTGAAATGTAGGATTTCCCCATATCATCTTGTTCACGTGTTCTCGATTTATTTGACGCTTACTTTCATTGTTTGAATATGTTAGATGGTGCTTCGATATTCATGCATTTCACATCTTCACTTTACCCCCTTCTAGACCCTGAACTTTAGCACCTTGATATCTGATATCTGACGTTTATTTCCCTAATCACTGTCCTTAAATTAATCTTTTTAACCATTGTATCTATTTGTGTGGGTGCTGTCGTTATCCTCATTATCACAGCTTGATGCTGTATTGCGCTTTTAGATGATGCACTTTAATAGCTCTAGAGGCACATTCAAGTTGCCATTTTAACGCTTATCATTGGTGAATTTGCCATGCAAAGTATTGAAAACGTAGTTCGTGCCGCACCTGTCCTCGCAAGGGGCAGCAAAAGCTGCGCCACACCTGCAGCCGAAATGCGTGTATTGTTTATTTCCCCACTCTCGAATTTGCTGATATGCGCGCGTACCCTCTGTGTGTGAAACGGTACGAAGGGGCTGCTAATTCTTCCTATCCGATTTCCGCATTGTATTGAGAATCACGCAATGCGCAAGGACTCTTAGTAAGATGTTAACGGTAACATGAGCGATCCTGATTAGTTCAAAAATGCCATGAAGATAAGGTATTATTGTGTCCTACTAGCTAAAAGAAGTTTGTTTTTCCAACATCAATATTAGGTTTTAGGAGTGGATGCTATGACGATGGGATGCCTGAGGGTGCACACTGTCTTGCTTATTGACCGAAAAAAGCAGATGGTCCCTGTCTGATTACGTATTTGATTCCTTTTGAAGTACTGATGTAAGTGCGAAATTCTTTCTATGCTCTGGAAGATAAAACTTAAATGCCACTAGAGTAGAATGCACCAGGGTGTCCTTTTGTCTAATTATCGAAACAGCTGTTTAACTTGTGTGAATCGCTGTCTTTCAGCCCATTGCTTCTGACGTCTTTTGACCTGTAATTATCAAACGCATTTCAATGGATGGGTGTCATTTTACAAGGTCCAAGATTTAGTCATCAGTTTTGATGGCTTCTGGATTAAAATACCTCTTGTCCTCAAACACACTTGAAGGTGACTTTTAAAGTAAAACTCCTAAAACCGGATGCTGTTTTTCCATTCCTTCTAGCCTAATCAAAAGACGATAGCCTATCGAATGATTAGATCTACTCCAATTGTGCATTTGATAGGCAATTCTGGAGGAGGAATATCAGGAGTCCTTTGGTATGACGGCGGAGCACAGCGAATCGGTCCCCTCGATTCTGCGTAAGATCACGCCTCCACGCCTCAGCGATCCACCGTCAGGCGGTGGGGCGACCCCAACGCGGCACTCGGCATACGTGACATCACGCGGTCACCGCTTTGCCACTGCCGCCGCCGCCGCCATCTACAACGAGCCCTGTGACGCTCGGCGTGCAGGCAGCAGCAGTGGTGGGAGTGCCTCCACATTCAAAAGGACAGCGCTGCGCAGGGCCAGTCTCGCCGCTAGCATATACTGCGATACTGAACACCATCGTCAGGACGTCTTTCAACCACCTTCCAGTCCACAGGGTACGTCCTCTCTTTTTCATGCAAATACATAGCTGAAATAGATAAAGCACGTATACTCCCTTGTTCAATTTCTATTTAATATTAACGATGTACTAACTCCTCTGATTTTTGTGTTAATACTTATTGGTACACAATATTGGCACTTGAGTTTGGACTGACCATCACACATTCCAAGTTAACACGCCTTTCGGTTAAATTGGAATAAATGTGTCGCTACTTTTATTGCCAAAACGATTTCTGTGTTTGATGTTTCGCAATTTATTGCAAGCAGTACCTATATCGATACGTGGGCTGTTATCAATCAATCTGTATGCCTTTTGCAGCCTTTACAATTCGTCTTTTTCTGTCTCAAGCAGCTACAAGACCGCATCAATCCCAATAATGTGAAAAATTGTTTGAGTTTTGGGCTTTATTGCGATTTTTTACCGATAGCTTGCTGGCGTTCCTTCTTTTTTATTATTTATTGTGCTTATTCCCTATCGACATGAAATACCACTTTGTACTTCGAAAAAAAAATTTCATCCTCTTAATTTGGTGTTACAAATCGCGCACCAAATCCAGTCGTTTAATTCCATTTGATGGTGAATTCGCAAGCGGGCCTATTCATTAGGAATCGTGGAGGGGTCATGTCAACGCTGAAAGCGGCATCCTCTTATCTCAGGGAGACGGCTAAGCTTTTTCAATTAGCGTGTAGTAAGATCCGTCGTGTTTTTTTCATCCCAATAATGGTACGACGAAGCTTAGTGAACAGGGCGCTTTAGCTAGAATTCCTGTACCCGTTCTTATGCAGTTCGATGGCACAGTTTAGTGTTTTTTCTACCCTTTTATCTTTTCTCATGCCATGCTATTAGCGTTGTCACCATCGCCGCAGCCGACAGGTGTGTCGATTTGAGTCATCCAGCCTTCTGGGTTAGGCAGCATCCAGGCACGAAATCGTACTCCTGTTTTTGGACTCTTGTCCTTCTTGCACGAATAAAAAGGCGGTCTTTTGTGGGAAACGGCTTTTGTACGCGTTGGGACGTCGTCTGTGGGTGTGTGTATTTCCGACACCTCACTGCGCATCCACTTCACGCTCAAGGCCGGTTCAACTCGTTCTCTTGCTTTCGGTAGACATTATAAAGGAGAGTATTCTTGCTAATGTCATGACAGTCATGAGGGAGCCTTACTTTTCAGCGATGCCACCAACTGACGATAACTACTTAACTAAGTGTACTTGAGTTCTACCTCAAACAAGCACTATGAAGTTAATATCGTCATTTTATCACCCACGTACACATCTGCAACAGCTGCTTTTTCTTTCTCCCTTATGGGGATATCTGGTGGAGTCAAACGGAGGTATGGTGGTGCGCCTTTTACCCAGTTCTCTAGCTCAACATCGTACCAGTTTGTTTTTTGCTGCGTTCCTGTTTCATTTCCATTCGTCATCAGCGCCTCTTTCAATCTTGCTTGCATTTTCCGTGCCTTTTCTGGCCTCAATAGAGGCGCTATTGACTGGCTGGGTGGGATAGGAGAGGCGAAGGATTGAGAGAAGTAAACACACGCATTGGTAGTCCTGCCTCCTGAGAAGGGGGGGGGGTGAGGGTGGGGGAAGTCACAAGTGCGCGTAACGCATTGCATTGGGACGCAATTAGAGTCCGCTGTGGTAGTAATGTGATGTGCAATCACTTGTCAATTAGCTCTGCGATGACTGCAGCTAAGATTAGGGTGGGTGGCGGTCACAGCCTCCGTGCCATACCCATTGGTCGCGTAACAGGACTCGGATGGTCTCTTCACTTTCTCTTGAGGATACCTTGTGTTGGTGAATCGTCTGCATTCCTCGGCTTTATTTTGATAATGCGAAGAGTTGGATGTCTGTTTGCAGTTTTCTGTACCACTTATTAGGAATACACCACTTTGAGGTATGACTCCCTGCCCACACCTCGATTGCCCTTCACGCTAAATGGTCAAAAAGGTACTTTTTGGATGATCTTGTTTTCCGGTCTGTGGGTAAAACGTAGGCTTGGGCGGTAGAGGACGGCGTACAGTGTGACCGGTTTACTGACTCACCACTGGGATGCACTCTTAGCGCAGGAGACTGTTGATGACACCTTTTCTCTCCCCTTCTCCTACGTGAAGTTAAACAATGACTTGAGCACTAAGTTAGCCTTTACATTTCCCGGGTGAAATGCTACAATTCGTGGCTTTTGTATCATTGGATCGGCGGAGTCCGGTTTTTACTACGCTCCGGGAAACGAATTCACTTCTTTGGCCTCTAGATTAATGAGCATATAGCACGAGGTTTCTTTCATTGGTTGGTGTGAACCTACATAACCCTAGTCCGAGGTTGCGACACGATATGTCTGAACAGTCGCTCTAGTTTCTATTACTCTCAGCTTGATTTTAGAAGATTCCTAGTCGGTGGCATTTTATCATTGCCGTTTCATTTCGCCCATTCATTTCAAGGGTGTCTAGTGAAAATTTGTTTTCGTACGCTTATTGTCAACTGGGATTAGGTGCCAATATTCCTCGCATCCAAGACTAGTTTGTTTTAGTTGCTATGACTTCCTAGAATGTCGTACTCATGTATGAAATGGGAATGAGAAACTAACCCAACCGACTCTGATTCTATTGCTTTGAAAGATATTCGATGACGTGTGATTAGGGAACAATATCAAATGCCATAAAGCCCTCCCCCCATGATAGAGAAACGGCACTCATAGGGTACTTCGATGCATGGGTTAATGCTTTGTGAGGCGTCATGGATTTGGCAACTTGCAAAATCAAATTGTCGACTGAATTATGTGTACCTTTTTATCTACGGAATTACCAGTTCTCCACCAGAGGATAACCCAAGATTGGAATCCTATATCTGCAAAGTGGTGCCTTCTAGTCTTGTCCATCAACTATTGAGTGTGCTAATGGTCTCAAAATGGGAATTCGGTTTTCGAAATGGCTGCCTCCTCTTCCTCCATCATTTTTGGACGTCCTACCTCTGTACCATCTTTTTCGACTAGTCAGAGTTTTGTGTCCTCCTCCAACTCAGCTTTCACCGGCTGTTCCGAAAAAATGCTAGAGTAGCTGCGCCGAGTCTAATCGCAGAGGAAATTTGGCAAGCTGCCAAATTGTTCAGTCTAAAACGTGCTCCTTCATTTGTTTGGGTCTTGTGCTAAAGCATGTGCATATCTTCCTTAGCGTCACTTTTATATCTTACAGGTAACTTTAGAGGTCCTAGCTCTTAAGTTTTTATCTTATGAACTCATTTTTAACCTGATCAGTCAGACTTATGATATGGCCTTTCAACTATCCATTATTAACATTTGTTTTCGACTGCTTCATTCGTTACGGTAAACAAACCAATGGGACAACAACCGGAGACATATATTAAACTTACTTTGAGCATGTACTGCTAATGAGCCAAATCCTAAAGTCCGTACATTTACCCACATCAGCACGGGTAGATAAAATGGGGCTATAGGGCCCTTAAATCGCCTTTCCGATTGCAGGCTCCCCTGACAGTCTTCAACCAACCTCATCCAACCACTTGTGGGAGGGCTCGGGCTCTGCTGGCTTCACTGTCACAAACGGATGGAAGAACGGTGTCACCAGTCACATGTCTCAACATTGGAAAGAACATGACTCCGGCTCTTCCAGCCTCTCGAACTCTCGTGACATTTTCTCGCACACCAACCCCTGTTTGGAGTAAGTCTCATTTCGCAGTGCAAATACTTTTTACTGATGAATAATCAGTAGCACAGCTTTTCTGACTATTCTTGTCGTGAAAAAACGGACAATTGCTTAAAACCAGAATTTTTTGCTAAAAAGTAATTTGTAATCAAGATTCCAAATTATTAGAGGTATTTATATGACTTCAAATTGTGGTTACATTGTTGATTGATTACTACATTTAGTTTTTTGCGAACTTGGGCAAAGCCAGTGAGTCTTTTTCCACTTCAAAACCCGTGTCTAATTTGAGTTGGTTTTTATTGTCTTTCACACGGAAAGGTTTAGTACACGTGTCCCCTTATGGTCACATGCACAGGTCTCCCGTCTGCAATTTTTCATTTGTGCTTTATCATCAGGCTAGTGTTTTATTTGGAGCCTTCACGGAGTTTTTTTGCTTTTGTCGCCTAATTTGAACCTGAGCCGCTGAACTTTGGTTACTTGCCTTCAGTTACTTTTTTCGGGAACTTTCAGTTGGTTAATCTTGAGAATTTCTAGGTCATCTGGAGATGCAATTCCAACATACACACCCACAGTTTTTTTGATTACTTTTTTCATTTTTTTTTAAAACACTTCGACTTGTACACTTTCAATGGGACTCTTTTCATACTTCTCTTTTATTCCGGCTTTCGGGAAATTTCGGTATTATTTTTTCTTTTTAGCAAAAAGACAGACTGCATTTTGAGACAAGTTCCGATGTCATAGCGGAAGCGATGGAATTCCATTCCTTATGTGCATAAGTCCAATGAAGTATTATCAATGAATAAACCCCATCGACACTCCTGTAGATGTTTACTGTTGATTGGATTTCATCACACCTAACCAGTGGTTAACCGTGCTTTTTCTGAGCCGTGGGAAAATTATGCTCATTTTGCTTCCAATGCAACATTTGCATATAAATCCCCTTCTCATAATGGTTTCAATAAGTTTGCAGTTCTCTTCTTTACAAGCAGTACCATCGTTATCTCCCGATATGGCTTTTGTCAAGATCATGCTAGAGATTGTTACGCTGGATGTGCAACAAGACGCTGCCTGATATTCACCACACATTATGCGTGTCTAGCAGTCTTATTCACTCTGATGATTTCAGTCGCTTTTTTGCATTTTTCCCGCTATGCGTAGCCAGATGCTATTACAACATGTGTGTTAAGGGGCGGAGTTGATTGGTTAATTGTTTCCCGTGTCGTCTGGACGATGGATGAATCCTTTGGGCAACCAACTCATCGGTCAACTGCATCATTCATCCCGCCGTCTGATTGGCTCGAGTATCTCTATATCCTGGCACGCGCCAACGAGTGAAATTCACATGCACGCAAGCATGCACATACGCGCGCACATACACACACGCGAATGCACAGCCACAATCTCCATCGCCGCGACACACGCACTTTTTCCGATGCCACTTGGGATTAATAACATCTAGTGTGCACACACACACACATTCATTTATGATGGCACTAGGCCGTGGATCTTCATCGAAAAAACATCGCAAGTCACGTCGTGAGGGGAACTCTACCGAGGAGTCGCCGAAGCCCATCAAATCTCTGATGCAAGTCTTCTGGCGTCGACACTCCTCCTCTTCTTCCAACAACCCAGAGAAAGTCGCTACTTCGCCACGCACTCGCACACTCTCGCCCAGTCAGTCGCCGTTGAGTCGCAAGACTAGTGCTCCAGCTGTGAGTTCATTGGAGCAGGCGTTGAGAATCGCCAGGGGCCAGGTAGAGGATGAGGTCGGGGAGATAAGAGAAAAAGGAGAGAGTGCAGCCTATGACCTTACCAGCGAAGCACTTGCCTATCAATCACCACCACCCGGTAGGTTTCTACCCCGAATTCCCGAACATGGGGAGGGCAACTACTCGGCAACTCAGATGGAACAACTGAAGGCCTCAGTTGTGCGACGCCCCAACAGTCGATCGGATCGCAGTTCATTTAACTCTGCACCACCAGGAACATACTGGCCTGATGGGGGGACAACTTTACAGCCGGTGATATCACACCAGCCGCAACAACAACCTCAACCCCAGCACCACTCACCTGCCTTCGGTCTGGTCGAGCGATTGCCCCGCATTCCACCACTGAGTCGGCCCACCTCGTCAGTGTTTTTCGGGGGTGCACGAAGCCCGGTGACCAGTTTTTGCGCATCCCCTGCTCGCACCGTCTCCCCCACCCCTTTCTTCCATCGACCGCTGCCTCCACCACCACCCCTGGTCGATAGACGCGGGGATAAAATGAGCAAGTCTTTTAACCTTGGCGGCAGTTCTGGCCCCATGTGGCACGCGATTCCGCCCAAATCACCCACTGGGGAGATTGAGGTGATCGATACTGCGGTTTATAGCAATGTCAAGATTCCTCTCTTGCGGTGAGCTTCACTTTGTCATTACTTAGCTGCTTGAAAGAGCCCTCTTCTCCACAATGCTGTAATTTTGGGTAGTATTTTACTGAATTTGCTTGATTTTGTACCTTTGAGCTTTTTATTCTGCGTACCAATTTGCTTTCTGGTGGATTTTCATCTATCCAGGTATGTTCACTATTTTGATTTCATCACCCCAATGAGAGTAATGGCTAAAGATTTTAGCCTTGAGCTATTGACTTCACAGAAAATGTCTCATTAATGTTCAAATCTGAAGTAGCATTTGTGAAGTGTATACGTGTTTGTGACATGATCAAAGGAAGGATAAGTCGTGGAGAGCAAAAAGTTGACAAGTAAATCTAAAAGGCAGGTGTCGTGACCAAGCTTAAGGTTGAAAAATGGCAGTTCAGTCTGCGTCCGACTGAAGTTTTCCCGCCTGACAACGTTTCATGGTTATGTAACCCTACTTTTTAGTCATTCTTTTTCATGGTTTGTATTTAAAGGAATGCAGAAGGTTAGATCGGCAACTTTTGGGCTCCTGCCACTTATCAATGCATAAAACTTCAAAGTTGGGGCGTTTTTCTGTTAAACGTAACATTGCAACGCACGGCTTTTTTCCACCGTTCTATCTCTTTATTCTTCCCTTTGGGTATCTTGAGTCGTTATTCTTTTTGTTTCAAACCTTTTCTTCGTTTTAAGTAGTTCACTCATTTATGTTTATAACGGTGAGCGTTAGTTTCATCGGTTAGTTGATGCCAAAGATGACTGTTGATTTACCCTCACCCCACTCCATATATCAGGTTGCTCTTTCTTGATCAAAACCACCATTACATCAGTGAAAATACTCTTATTTTTTCTACGATAACTTGGTCAAATTTGCGACCAACTTTTGTTAGTATCATCTTGAAGACCACCTGATTCCCACAATTGTCTACACAAGCTGATAAAACCTAGTACACCAACATGGAGTCGACGTGATAATTCTTCGACTTGTAGAAATGGATAGCGAAATCAGGAGCAGACATTTTTGAGTGGTGATTCCGAAAATTTTTACAAAGACGCTTTTAGATCACCCCTACATGGGTCACAAACATGCGCGCATGCGCTCATAAGGGGGAATGGAAGTGTTTTCGTGAAGACTCGCTATTCACTTTGACTCAATCCTATTTCCTCATGTGAACATAAAAGGAAGGGAAGTTTAGCGTCACTGCGATTTAGGTTATCGGCAGCCTCGGTGCGATAAGGGATCAGCTAAGACTCTCCTTTTTTACATTGAATGGAACTTTTCGCGTTTTGTGCATTTCCGTTTTGGCGGTCTTCAAGTGAGATAGCTCCAGGGGTAGAGGTAGGCAGGTGGATCGCCGGTTGCCGGAAATTGAGTGGGAATAACCAGCTCTCCTGCATTGTTAGCTACCTGGCGCTTGCTTCCTGTTGTGTGTCCTTTTTTTCCATCTTCCCCTTAAATTATGATGTGTGGTGGTTTTTTGAAGCATGCATTATCTTGACTTTCATCGCTCCAGGCATATTTTGCTTTTAGGCGCAAAGACATCTCTTTAACTGAGCATTTTATCTACTTAAAAGTGCGCTCACGGTTTGCCAAATCATTTTTCCTTTTGTGAGCGCTTACCAACTCATTCCAGTGCGTTTTCAGTAGAAGTTCACAAATTTACTGGGTTGAAGAGAAGAATATTCGAGTTTCTTTTACTCTGTTTGTTTTCAATCAAATTCAAGTATTTTCATGTCATGGAGTTGAATTTTCCCGCTCCAAATCCTATGAATAAAGCAATTGATGCTATCCTTTGTCCTTTTGGGGGAATTCTATTTATCATGTCAGCTTCATGTTGGTGTACTAGATTGTATCAGGTTGTGTAGACAATTGTGCGAATCAAGTGGTCTTCGAGATGCTACTAACAAAAATTAGCCGCAAATTTGACCAAATTATCGTAGAAAAAATAAGGGTATTTTCATAATATTCCTGGAATTACTGTCAATTTCCCTTCTTTTTTTGTAGCTTTTTTTCACAGTGCTGTAATAAGTTAAAAGGTTACCGAATCAACAAAAAGCGCTCATAATTGTTTATGAGCACTAGTACCCAATGCGTTTATCATCCTCCCTACAGACTTGCCTTCTTCACTTGCTGTCACTTCAACTACCGAGTGTAGAAACGAGCACCCTAAAACTTGAATGTGCGACCCAGGCGCGTCACCAATACGTGTCGAGCAAATACCATGCGTCGGCTAGCCTGCCATTAAAGCTGAGAAACTACAAGGTCATACTTCATTCGTGTGTTCGCATACACACACACATACACACAAAATCTTACAGTGCCAGTGATCTGACGGTGCTGCCACCATTGTTAGTCCTGGGTTAGTGGGTGAGGAGCCAAGACAGCCTTTACGCTGTGCCCTCAATGATCGCACCATATCGGCTCTTATGTGCATCGGATGTTCTTTATGATAAGATAGTCTTGTGACTCTAAAGAAAGGCCCACAGGCGTCATTAGCCCTCTGTGATGCTTTTTCATAAAACGCTGCATAAAATATGGCCTATCAGATGCCTTATGCTGTAGCATTTATCGCTTTCAAATGTCACGGGATAATACTGAAATCGGTATATCGAAAATTTTAGTCCACTAAACGGGAAATTTGCCCTTAGTAAATCAGCCCTTACTGGCACCCCATTACAACCCAAGTGTCTAATCCACAAATCAAGATTTCAAATCGTAACGTTCTAGTTAATCCCGAATGTTTAGAAGTATGCTTTTAGCTTCATCAAGATTGGACTAGTGGCGGATCCAATAACGGTGATGTGATCAAAGGCAAACATGCATGGCACGAAGACTACAACGAAATGATCCATAAGATTAATTTGAGGAAATATTACATTTTGAAATTGTTTTAGCGTTCTATACAAAGCTTTTATATCTGTAGAGAAGGATTACAAGGCGAAGACATTTTTGGCTAGTCACCACTGCATTTTGACATCAAAAAGGCCAGTAGTCCTTTTCCATCTCGGTGCTCCTCTTATTCGCTACCGTGGTGACTCGGTTGTGTCGTAGGTGGGACGTTTGCTGGGATGACACATCTCTCTATTCGACTAAGCAACGCATTAGTATTTGGTCAGCAAGGGGATCCATGCTTCATAGTGGTTTCTAGTCCCATGGCTCTCCTTCACCTTTTCATGTTTCGGTACTTTGAATTCCGAGGCTTGCCATAAGCAACGCATTAGTAAATTACCTCCCACCTACAGAGCTCATCTGGATGGGGGTGAACTGGATTGCATGGGTTATAATTAATTATGGCTAATCTGCAGCCTGTCAAGTCGATCGCAGAAGTCCGTTGCTTTTCTAATAAAGCTGAATAAACTCCCATGAAGTGAAAACGTCATTGGAAAAGCATACTCTATTGAGTGCAAACAACGAATTATGGAAAAGATTGACAACTAATTCACTGCACATTGATGCTCAACTTGGGGCTTGGAACCTCTCTCATAGACAATTTCCTTAAGACGCGGCCAGTTTCAAAGTTGTTCCTTTCTTCCATTGCACACTTTCCCCTTCAGTAGTTGGAACGAACTTCAGCACAGCGCAGATAAGCAAAACTATTTATTTTCGTATGACTTTCCGTTTGAGTGCTTTTTTTTGAACTCGGCTTCTTAGATCCCCCTTTTCTCTTTCATCATTTTGCAACGAGCTATATGCGTTTCCGGTGGTGAAAAACCGTTTTTGCTGTTTCGCTTTTGGTAAGACGAAAGGTCATTTGTGAGATGACTTTTTCGATGTTATTTACCGAGGTGAAATTGAATTAATTGATTCCGGTTTGAGGGGTTATTTCAGTTCATTTAGATGTCCTCCAGGTAGCGGTGAGAATTCGTTTGAACAAATGTTGTAATTTTTTTTCTTTACTACAGTCCACACAGCGGAGACACCAAATTTCGAATTGAGCATGGGACAGCATTTCACACATTCGGAAATACGCTCCCATCTGTGAATTCGGCTTGCGATCTCCTCAAATGCATTTACACAATTTAGGGTCCATGTATTTTCCCCCTTTGCATATGCCTTTTATTCCTCCTACTTCCACTATTTTCTCATGAGTCTGAGTTTTCGTGCAAATTCAATGCGAATGCACGGAGTAGACTCCTTTTAGTCTAGATTTTGATTGTGCTCTACTACTTTACACTTCAAATTCCCGGCTTACCCTCATGCAATGCTAATTGTGTGAGGTTTAGGTTGTTTTGGGAGACGTGGTGTCAGAAAATCTTTAGTGCTTTGTTTCTGGCAATGCTTTCAATGGTTTTTTTTCACTGCTGGAAGCATTTTGATTTTCGCTGTTGGTGGGGGAGGAATGAGTTCAGCTAAGTAACCACTAATGACACCCTTTTCAATCCACACATGTGCATTCATTACTTGCCCTGGCGTCAGTAAATTTGAACAAATGGCTTGCGTTTAATTGCAGCTCCCTTCATGGCACGTGCTGGATATCCCCATTGTATACACACACCCACGCATGCACTCCTTCCAATAGGGAGCAGATCGCGATGTTGAGGTTCCATTGCCCTTTACGCGCTCAGTAGATAGCGATTACATACAAATAGCTTGATTATTTGATAATAAATGACGTGGAGAGGATAGACTTCTAGTTTTCGTGGAACCACACTTCGCACAGTTGGATCTAGTTGTCCAGTTACTTTTGGGGATCAACACTTAGAAGCGTTGAGCTTCTCCATTATTTCATGCGGTGAATTACAAACCATTACTCTTATGTAGGCATAGGTCGAATGCACTTTTCTGATGGTGTCACGTTTCCTTCCACTTCCTGCATGACTAAAAGCAGTGTTGTGAAGGCTTTGTGCCCGCCCCACTGATCTCACGTGCATACGCCTAAAATTATCGTTCACACACTTTATTTAACATGACTCACCCTTGCTTTCTCTCTGTGTGTATCAGTTTTCGTGATGGCTTTATCTTTTTGTTGGCTTTTCTGCCACCTCAAATGCAGCTCGCATGAAGGCAATGCCAACTGTGTGTGCACCGCTAGAAACAGTCTACCCAGTCGGTGGTGTCATTGATTCCACAATCCATGTAGAGTTTATTTCAACAATTGCAAATTCCGATTCTTCAATTTGGCCTCTTCCAATAAATCGCTTTGACTGTGATGATGATCAGACCTATCCATTTCCAACTTCCCCACCCGTTTTACATCACAGCATCTGTCTACTTTATTCTGGTTAACACACTTTGAATATACTAATTCGTATTGCATGCCAAATGGGTCCATAACTCCCATTTGATTCACCTGACAAAACTGAGCCCCGCTTTTCAAACGTAGGTGGAAACTTAACTTTCACCGCTTTTTCGTGTCTACTTCAATCTCTTAGACGGAATGAACATTCTTTGTGTTTATTTGCCTAGGTCTCAGTTGTGCGATTTACTACTTTGCAAGCTGACTTCAAGGTCATATAGCAACACTTAGGCGAATACGATGCTGTGATAGTTGCGATGCCTCTTGGTATACTGGTGGACTTTCCGCTGCTATCTTTTTCAGCCTTTTAATAGTCTAAAATGTGCATGCAAGCAACAAAAATTGCCATTTTTTTCTATAAGGATTTCACATGGAATACTACTACGATGACCTTTGTGTGGTATTTGTCGAAACAGGGTATTTTGTAATTTACTTTACCTTCTAATAAGCACTGATGGGTATTATCTATTTATTTTCCAAAGCACTCCGATTGCTCCTTATTCCTGATTTTAGCTCCTCTAGTGTATTGAGTTATTGTGCGATGGACTTTCACTGTTGCACCAACATGCTACTTCTTCCATCTTTCCCGGCCCTGCCGTCGCTTGTGCAATCTTTTGATAGACGGACCTAGTGCTCTTTGCCACCAACCATGGGCGCCTATATACACCTTCCCCTCTGCAGACATTTATTTTCATTCATTGACCCCTATACACGCTCCATCCTTCACCTTCAAGAGTTGAATTGTAATTACCACTGTCTGATAAGATTTACAGGAATGTTTTTAACTCAACATTTGACTTGTATATCATATGGTAGTAAATCACTACAGGTGCACAAGCTCCTACTTTGACTTCCTCGGCTATACCTCAGTGTGAAGTCTTCCACTTGATCAGTTGATGCTAAAAAGACATCCATTTTTTTTCCTCCAGTAGGATATTTTCTTCACATCGTTTGTGTGTACATGTCTACTGGTCTGCATTCCACCTGCCTCAAACTACAGATCTGTTGCAATCCCAACAGCAAGATGCTAATTAACGCTAAAACTTTGCCTTCACCAAATTAAAGTACAAAAAGTCTCAAACTCTGCTACTTCTTGTGCTTTGTTACTTGCATTATTTGCAAGTTACATCGGAGAAGTTGACTCAGATTAAAAAGGGTATTCAAATTATCCCCTGTGATTGATTGCAACTCTACCTTGTCAATTAGTATGTTTATTATTGGAAAGAAAGAAAGCGAGAAATTTGTAGTATCATCTACTTATCTTAAGAAACCAGTTCGAGCACTTTCACTTTTGGCCGGATATTTAATCACGGCCGCTAATACTAATATTCAAATCTGACGTCTTAATGAACAGCAACCGGTGCAATTCGAATATGCTAATTTGCATTCCATTTCACGATAGACTAGAAGACTCACATTTAAGACGATTCCTTTTAAGTGACGCGACCATTGGCATTATCGCCAAAAAATGTTTTAATTAAAGGAGAATAAACACCTTAAAGTTGACATTTGAGTACCTTCTTCCTAATTTGTGTGCACCCAATTCCTCATCAGCTTGGTTCCTTTTACTTTTTTTTACCAATTCATTGTCCTCGCTCATCACTATGATTTCCAACAAAACCCGACTCATTGCCGATGGTCCTTTGGGTAGAGTTATGCCATGCTACGATGATAATTGGGCTATCGGCAACTAAGAGTGAAGCAACTGGCTGTCATTGCGGTAACTGATTAAAGAAAGCGTTTTCTGTTATTCTCCAGTTCATCGTATCGTTCACCCTAAACACTTTTAATTCCTAACAGCTTGTTCGTAATATTGAAACTGGACCGTGTGTAGTCGATTTCTCCCATCACAGAATGGCCTCGCCACCAGCTGGGAGCGGTTCGTCAACGGGTCACTCGCCGTTGGCACACACCGGGGGATCAATGCGGGTGCATTCACAGTCGCCTCCACCACCAACAACACAGCCGCAGTTAGTGGCACGGGATAACCGGCAGCGTCAGCAGCAGGCACCCCTCGCTCACACCTCCTCCTCCCCCGGCCTCGAGCGGCGTCGCAACTTCAGCCCCCGCCAACTAACCACCGCTACTACTACTGCCGCTACAACTGCCGCCTCCTCTTCGCACAGTGCCTCTCCTACCCTTTCCAACAGCCCCAGTAAGTTGTGCTCCCTTTTTAAAGGTTCCCTTTTCTTGTACATCGAGAGACCACAAAAAACCCACTTTGAAATATATCTGATTTGGATGCCTTGTTGATAACAACTGCCTCCTAATATTGAAGGCATAGAGGCACTTTGTACTTTTAATGTCTCTTCAAATCGAAAGAAAGTAAAATCGCTTGTTAGTGTTTGGGTTACTATTGTATCGAATTGCTATATCCATCTACTAAAAGTTCTAGCGCTCCGTCCTAGTGATGAAGGTAGACGGAGACGCTTTTAAGTCTTTTCAGTCGGTTTTAATCATCAACCTCATTGAAACCGAATGCGCTACGAACTCTGTGACTTGAATTCGATTTATAGATGCTTTTTTCCTTATCAAATCGGGTAGAAAAGGCCAATCTCTCTATTATCCATTAAGTGATCAAACAGACGGAAATGTTTGTTTTGGCAGGAGTGAAATAGAGATTCTTACAAGATCCCTTTTTCAATAACTTAAAAATCTTGAAACTCAAAGACGCAGAAAAGTTGTTCCACTTTCTCGTTGTTAGCTTCTCATTAATGTTTCGCCTACATTTTTACTTCGTCCGATTTGTGTTTGAAGATTAACTTTTCATTAATCTACTGTTGAGATAATGTGTTTGCACTACAAATGGCATACGTTTACGTCCTAATTCGCCTTCCCTCCCATGACCACTCGTCATCGATTGTCGCCTTGACACAAAGAAAGCGTGACAGCTGCTCCATGGCCTTCCTAAATGCATGGAATAATGTCCCACGTCCTTTCATTTCATGCCCGTGTCAATACAATCGTTCAGGCGTCTTTTTGCTTGTATCTCCGACGCCAAAAGTATTCATGTCAGAGCAGGGTAAAATGTCCAAACAATTCACGTAGACGGGTGTGGGTGGCGCTGCATTACGCATTCAAGCTTCTTCATCAAATTTGATCGACACCTTTCACTTGTGGCAGTCTTCACGCTATAGTGTGCCCTGTGGACTAACAACAGCAAAAAGATGGCACAAGAACTCATTGTAGCAGTCGTGTTTTTCCGTCTTATTGGTATTTATACCTACAAACTTATTTCTCGCTGGCAGTGCTCTGTGTAAGCCATTTCTGTCGTTGGATCCAAATTAATCTAGTACTTAGAATTACTCTTCTTCAATAAACAACTAAAAGTATATGCATTTATGGTGAAATAAAGTATTAATTCTGGAATGCATTAGTAGATGATGCTCTTCTAAAACTCTCCCATGAATATCGCCACTAACCGTTCTGATTCATTGACCTAAGTAGTTGTGCTCAGCGCAACCTGATCCATCTGGCTTTTTATAAAGTCATCTCTCGAAACAAACATCAAACAACTTAAAGTCATTAAACAGCTATCTCTGATGCTGGTTGACACTTTTAAAAGTTTGCATATCCCCTGTGGGATTTTCTGCTTCCATCCATAAATGAGCGTTTGTGCTGTGCATAATAAGTGAATAACCGAACTTTCAAAAAGTTTGTTCTTTTTACTAATGTTGATGATTTGTCTAAATGAAAAACAACCGCATAGCTGCGCAAGGATAATGTCTCATTTTCTTTGATTCCATTTGGTCGTTTGAAATATGGGGTTAAAAGTCGTGTATTTGCTATTTAAAATCACCTAACCCTTTCTTACCTCGGTAATTACTCTCCTTTTTTACCTTGGTCACCGTTTTGAATCTACTAATCAGATCGAATTACTTTCACCTCGACTCCTACGGGGAGAAGCTACTTACTCTTAGAGCAATGAAATAGATCTGGCGCTTGGTTGAATCATTTTTTCAATTCTTCCTACCTGCAGAAGTATTTTGCAATGCTACCTCCTGTCAGAATGCTAACGTGGTGCACAAAACTGGCAGATCGACCCTTCTTTACATGTCTTTTATTTTTCCGCCATTCTTTGTGCACCAAAAGCGGACTTTTGCCGTCGATCTAGCTGCCATTCTTACCCTGTTTTCGCTCTTCTGAAATGGATAACTTGAAGGATAGGTTTGTGGGTACCTTTTGACTACCACCTATCTTGACAGTGCCTGGTAAAACCCCCTGATTAGTGAATGATTTCGCACTGCTGGTGTGCGATTCACTGGTAATGTGATTGCGATTTGGCACCGGCATTGGTATGAAATTTTCGTCGTGAATGCCTCCTCCCTTTCTTCTCTTCTTTGTTTCTACCCGTCACATGCCTTCTGTTTACACTGCAGCGCTTAGAACAATTTAATTTTGGGAAATTGACTTGAAACACCTTTTAATATGTGGTGAAATCTGGTAGCCTTCCTGGAAATAGGGTAATATTTCATGCGATTAAAGCTAACCTTGGATAGAATGGTAATTAATAAGTATTGTACAGACGTGTGGGCTTTTATCTTCGTGAGAGTATGATTTCGACGGACTAGCACCTCGACCATTTACGGCGACCAGTTTAACCTTTTGCAGAAGTGTTCAACTCCCAACTTCAAATCACTTCTCACCCTTCAGTCTGCTTTCCCACAAAAAATCTCATCCCATCTGATTGTGAATGCTCCCCTTGTTTAATTGGGACAGGATTAACAATGAATGATGTTACATTGGTTAAATAAACGACAAACAATTTTGTATCAAGTGGTCCAGTTCATGTACCGATTCGTGCACAGTGCATTGAGTAGCGGTTCTTCTTGAATGCAGTGTGAGGCTTCTACTAGCTTCGGCGCAATTCTCTGACGTCATTGCTACTACGCCAATTGTATCGGATTGCAATGTTAATGTATTATTTGTATTTGTATTTGTATTTTGTACTTTTTAATTTGCCAAATACTTGAATAGATTAGATATTTGCTGGCATAGTTTGCTACTCCTTGCCTTTTTTTTTCTTCTAAACGAACTGATGGTGCAAATTCATGTGTGCGTTACCCTATTAACTGATAAGACATATCGACTGAAAATAACTGGAGATTGGTACTGTGTGATGAATCTAGCTTGAGTCCTTACTTTATCTTATCTAGTTTTCACAAATTTTCGCCTATACTTTTGCATACAACTTATTTTAGGACCTTTTTGAGGACGCGAATCAGTGCTTAGTTAAGGTGGTTATCGAATAAACATTTGCACGAGTGTGTTAACCTGCATTAACTGTCTCTACTAAAGCAAATGTTCACTCCGATTGAAGGTTTATCTCCATAACTTGAAAATACCTTGCTCAACCCGTGAAAATGGTTTTTTCCTGCAATTACCTGACTACTTTGTAACAACAAGCTAGGCGATAGCAACATGTTTGTACGTGCATCCTACACATTCCATTCGACTTGCAAATAGGTGTTCTCCGTCAACAGTCAACTATGTTGCTACCCGGCCATGTGTGGATCTTGGTAGGTACAGATTTTTCTCTGTAAAAGAGTTCTGTCTTTGAGTTGCATCCCAATCTCCAAGGTTACACACAAATAAACCCAAACAGTATGCTACATCAAAACTACTTTCCTGCATAAATGGCTAGTGTGCGCATACTCAGCGTTCAACACTACCGACGAGTTTCAGATTGTTCACTTATCACTTGCTAACATGTTGCATAATCCGTTTCTGGATAAACTTGTTTCAACTTTCTTATATACTAATCCTCACTCCCCTGTTTTCTACAAAATAGATTTGAAGGGACTAGCTTTGCGTTTTGGTGATTTTGAAAGGCGAAATTTAGTAGAAGATCTGGGAATATGGCTAGACTTAATTCGGGTCCTGTGTCCTTAATTCAACTGATTTATACCTGCAAGGTAGTTAGGTAGTTTGCTTTGATGATGCAGAACTCCGAGGACCATTTTCTTGCGGCGAATGTACTTTCTTAAATCATATTTTAGTTGTCTATGTTCATTTTGCCTTTCATTACAAAAGCCATCAGGATTTACGATTGACCTCATTGAAACCTACCTACACTACATACATAGCATTTAAGTAGATGAAGCAATGTCTCATGATTTTCGGGGTTTCCCTGCATGAATCCCAATAACCTCCATTAGAAAATATCTCTACAATCCAAACAACGTCCTTGGTTCTCTTTAATCTGGTGCTCTAAGTTATCTAGAGCACCAATTGTTTCCATTGTTCTGCCATTTCCCATTGGCATTACGCCTGATTAATGCCTCACCTTGCATTATGAAGCAGTCATGGTACTTTACGCGGTAAGATTTACGGGGAACACACACGGGCATGCGATCAAAAGGGTGGGTCCTGGCGAACTCACTTTTCCTTATTTCTGTTTAATTGTGGCCACAATGTGGATTTTTTATGGCCCCCTTTTTTATTTTTAAGCATACCTCCTGCAACTTTCATTTTATAGGAATTTTTGCCTGATGGGGATCTTGCACACCGCTCATAAACACCCCCTTGTCGTCGTTCATACTCACTAACGAAAGGGGATGCGGGCGAATAAAAAGAAACCCAAACTGCTGTCCTAGAAGCTTCCTCTTTGAGCCACTCACAGGATTAAGACTTCCTTTTTTTCAACCTTGATTGCTTCCAATGGATTGGTCTTGATTTTGTACGATCGAGCGAAGGGGTAAGGCAAAACGAGATCTGGGAAGTGGAGATGGTAAGCAGGTAATCAGCGTTATTTTGTTACAGAAATGGGTCTTAGTCACACCCTTCGGGTGTACAAATGTAGGCGTGTGTATCTGTCTGCACGAGCGTTCAGAAACCGCCACGAAAATGCCAGCGTTCTCCACACGGTAACTTTTCAACGCACATGCGTGCACACTTGCCTCGTATTCGGGCTGCAGTGTCGTCGTGTTGACGAACGGACGGAGGGGCTAGCAAATTCGAGTGACTAATCTCCCCCAATCTTCTCCGATTATCACTTTTGTTTGCTGTGTAAGTGAATTATTGGGGCTACGTTTGGTCTGACCGCCGTGAAGATAAAGTACTTATCAAAATTCCTTCTCATGGCGCTTTGGAGGCTGATCACATTTCAGTCTATTACCAGGCAACTTATTTTTCACTTTAGAGAATTGTTACTATTTTACCGTCTAATTGGTAAAGACAGGTAGAATAGGAGCAATCCAACATTGAGGTTCAGTTTGTGACTTCTTAGCTGTAGCTAGTGTTACTTCTTAAACATCCTCAAAGACGTTGGAGACCGAATCACTACCGCCTGATTAACCTGGCTAGATGATATTTGACGTGTATTGTGGCCAGGACACGCAGAGCGGGTTTACCATGCGCCTCACAGATGGCGTGGCCTGGTTTCAGTCTTCCTTCGCCCCTCCTCCCTCACACACACACACATGCACACCCTGGTGCATTTCCTTTGGGTCATCTTTTACAGGCATGAATCATGGATTAGTTATTTTTAGTAAGTGTGGTGTTGGTGTCGATGCCGCTGGAGAGAGAGGAAGGGAAGGAGGGGCGGGCTGACGAGTAGCGTTCAGGTCTAGCCCGCACCATCAACATCTACACAACGCACACACGACCCCCTTGTGGGTCCACATCGGGGACTTTTGGCAAAGCGGAGGCGGGTGGGGGAGGGAGGAATGGCGCGGAAACGGCGAGTCGTTTGTTGCTCGTGTGGCCCTACCTAAATCGTATGAGTCATATGCTCCCTCCTCTCTCCCCTTTCTACCCTACATCGCTGTAATAAAAAGTGATGTTGCTACTCCCCTACGTAGCAGATTGACATGCCAACTCCCGTTCATTTATCTTCGCACACAACTTTGATAACTGAACCCAGAGTTGCCCCTCGCTGATGGGTAGTAAGTGTTTGTGATCGCTCCCGGGCTCCTGGCGGCACCTGTTGTAGCGTTTCTGCAAAATTATCTTGCTTTATCCTTCGTGAGCATGCCCTCATTCTACATCAATGGTGAGGAATTGAGGTCTTTGTCCCCGGTTTGGGGTTTTGCAAGAGGTGGGGCATTCTGTATATCTTTTGTTGTTAAACTAAACATATCCGTTTGTGACACGATTTGGCGCATATAGTTACCATAATCTCGCACACACGTCACAGTTATTACGCCGAGCTCAGATAATACAAGCAAAGCTGGCAGCAAACGTGGTCACATTCAAATTGAAATGTAAAATAAGAGTTGATTGGTCTCTTTTCAAAAAAAGCTCTTCCTTGGACTTGGGTCTCGTTATTTGCAGCTCTCGCCCCCAATGTAATTGCACAGCCGACTAGAAATGTCTCTTTCGACGTTTCATCTTGGCTCATTATTGTGCTTTTCTAGTCCTATTCGATAAGCTCACGTGTGTGTGCGTGTGTGACCATCTAGCACAATTACCTCCGTTTCCGAAATCCAGATCACACTAACTTATGATTGCGCTAGTAGTGGGAAGCGTAAGAGTCCCGTACCAGGCCCGGGGGGATGTTTTCACAACACATTTATGGACCTACTACTCATGACCTACATTTGGGCCGAGGTATGATATATACGTTGAGTCGTAGTCATTGCCATGGTGACGCTGCTCCGCCAACACGGTTATGTAGACTTTCATCATGGCACCGCTTGTATTCAATTGACGCGTGTGTGCCACTGTATTTGTGGGCAGCTGGCCGAATTGGTAGCCTGACTTGGGACTAGAAGACTAGGTAAAAATGAAAAACTGCATGGGATTGGGCTCGTAAAATGTTAGATTGGTGTTTCCTGACTAATTGAAAGATGAATCACTAAACTGTCAATTGAAAGACTTCTGGAAAGCAGTGTCAGAGGAAGAAGCTAGGGGTACAGATGAGGTCACGAAATAAATTAATAAGTTACCTACCACTCTTAAGCTCCGCCGTTTCGTGGTCACATCACCAAGATGTCGAAGCGACAAAAGTCATTCCCATTATTTTGATATAACTTTACCATTGACTTAGTTACTTATCTGGAAATTGGGTACCATCTAGTTTAAGTGTGCGAAACTTCCATTGAATGTGGGTTAGAAACGACCTCAAATGGGTAAGGCGGGTGACTACTAAGTAATTTGATGACAGCTTAATCTGCAGATTAGTTTTCGCTCTTGTTTCAATCAAAGTGAGTTGAAAGGTGGAGGATCCCCTTTATATAAAAGGAAGCAGACTGTTCCGTGTAAATTTTCTCATGTTGACGAAAAATTTGGCAAGCAATTTAGATTTAGTGTTATACTATCTGAATTTTGGTCCACCAACTGCCTCGGTAACAGTATTTTTATCTAACTTTCTATTACTATTTGCGGATTTTGGTGTAATGGTCTACTCCTTTCAAAAAGCACCAGAAAAAAGTCTAGAAGGGAGTCCTAGTCTTGTTTATGAGATGCAAGGTCTGCTATGCCGTGTCCCTCACGTGTCGATGGTGTGACAGTTATGTTAGCGCCACTCTTCCAATTATATTAACTTCTCTGATCATTGGTCTACTCTTCGAGGATACTTTAAGGAAGATCACTCGGGATATGACCTCCGACTCAACGCTTATGGAATTGGTGCGAAAACAGTGATCGCCTGTTCCTAATTCCCGGGATGTTCAACTAGCCGGTGAAGGTGATTTATTGTCAAGTTATTGCACTCTGTGATAGCGTCTGGTTCCATGAACACACTTGATGGCAACTAGTGTCTGTGAGGCCTAAGAGCGCTTACAATTAGCCGGTTACTTTCCTCCCTGTAGGTTTTTCAAATCATCCAGTGGTGCTGCAAGGCAATACCCAGATCAGCCACCACCCTGCCAGTCCTTTCGCACCGATTGCCCGCACTACCTCCTGTGGCAGTCGCACCTCCCCGTCCGCTGCCTCTGCGGCCGCTGCGACAGCTTCGTCGTTGCGTAGCAACAGCGACGTTACCGCGCCCACCCGTCCCTGCGCTCAGTCCTACCACCGACCCGCAGTCTCACCTCCGCCCGAACACCAACGGGCTATCTGTAGCCCCTGTGCCAGTGCCAGCAATAGCTCTGCTGTTCGTCAGATACCCGACGATGGTGGGTCGATTGACGTTCTTTCACGTCCTTTCTATCATGGATCAGATAAGAAATAGATTTGGTGGTTGAATTCAGCTCTAAATACGACGAATCTTCGGTTTTTCATTCATCAACACTCGTAGACATGAGTTAGATAAAAACCCTATGCATAAAATATACTGTAGGGTATAAAGCACTCCCACAGATGGTAAGAGGGGCGGTAGTCTGGAAAAAAGATTTACTATAATCACACAGAAGGGCTGGAAGACTAGCAGCGTAGGTTACATTAACATGGTTGAATCGTAGAAGACTGAAAAGGGCCGCATAACCAAATGTGCACGTAAAACAAGTGTCCTCATACTGCCTGGCCCTCTGCCTGTCCTGATTGTCTTCCCTTGCGCTCTTTACGGTCAACCCTCCTTGTCTAGGCCAATAGGTGTTAATCTGTAATGTAGCATGCCATCAGTAAAATGGAAGATTATCCCTCCTTTAGGGTGAATCTACTAACAATCCTACAAATTTAGCCGTTATAATGCGTACGATTAGCTTCATTGTAGACGTAAGGAATGACTGGAAGTCTAATAAGAATAGAGGGTTAGGAATTCACTTTCGTTCCGCCGGCATGGCAGGTGAATTACGAAAAATTGAAGAGGCTTACGTAGTCACAAATACCATAAGCGTTGTTTTATCACTGTCATCAAAAATGTATATTTTCATTAATTTGTAACGTTGCATGCCTTATACTTGACCAGACAGTATTGGAATCTAGCTAGAAGCATATTTAGAATCACGTACATCTAATATGGAGGACTCGGTCTTGTGGACAATGCAGATTCATTAATTGGTTACTTCTGAGTGTTCCAGGGGAATCAGATGGAGTTCAATCAACGTCAGGGGGTCTACAGCCTTCGCGGCGTCGAAAGGATCTTGCGGCGACCTACGAGGAGGCTTGGGATGTAAAGATGTCGCGCCGGCTGGGTGGTATGGACGTGAGTCGACTAGCTGAGGCATTGCCCAATAGCAACTTCAAGCGCTACGATCTTTTTCGCGCCTCTGATCGGCCGCTGCGCTCCCCTGCCACCCCTGCTCCCGTGGTGCGCTCTCCTTCGCTCTCTCCTGTCCTTACCTCTACCGAGGGCATTGTCATGCGCCAGCCCCGACCTGCACCTCGAGCTAGCTTCAGAAACTCTTCCACCGATACTGTCATTAACCGTGAGACGATGCCTTCTCCATTTCGGCTCAAGCAGAATCGGGTAAGTGTTCTCTATTCTACATACTGCAACTGTCACTTCATCGTCTAGGCCAACAGAACTTTAACCTCGGCATCAGCAGTAATCCATGTATCTGTAGTACTTCGAGTCATCCCTGGATGAGCAATAGGTTAATTAGTATGGGCGAAGATTTATCATTAGCGTACGGGAGGGCTGAGAGGCCATAGACTTGAACAGAACGCCACAACACCAAGATGATAATCGAAACCGCGGAGATTCAAAATCTTGTGTTATTACGTATACCGTTAGAACAATCTTCAGGTCATTATGCAGTCCTGTGGTTTTGAGCGTCACCTCCCGAGTTCCGTCTGTTCAACCTTCTGCTTTGGTCGTAACGAATCTTTCCGTGAATTTTAATTAAGCGAAGGTGATATGATGTATTCTCACCCTAGGGCAAACCCTGCCCATTCGTTGTAGTATACATGCTTTGGATTTAGTTGAAATCCTGAATATCCCGTTTTTGTAAAATATTGGAGAGAATCATTTCGAAAGACAGTGGGCACAGTCTGTGTACCAATCGCTTTTTATAACAATGCCTAAGAAGAAAAGTATCGTCTCTACAGAGTAGCATATAAAGCGTTGTGTTCAGGGGCACAGTAAACGTAGGTCTTTGTTCTGTACTCCTATGCCATTTTTATTGTGTTACTTTGATTCCAAAAGGAAACGTTACCACGATCTAGTACTGTTATTAAAGGTGGCTCTGTTGTCCCCTTTGCTTAACTATGACTTTCATTAAACCTAGATGCAATCTCTATGCATAATTATCTTTTATTGCTTGGAAACATGCATTTTTCGTTTTGCTTTAGTCCGATTCCCTCATTTTACATAATCTGATGAGGATAGATTTAAACTGCAAAAACCGGGATTCAGCTATTAAAGAACTTATACCTTCCTAGATTCCTGGCTTTTGGTGAATGCATTTTGGTGTTACTTGGATATTTTTGGGGAATCAGGTCTGCTCTTTTTGTGTTGGAATAGGGCAAAATTGGAAAGGCGAGGTAAGATTGAAAAGATCTCAATAGGGCTTTCAAAAGTTGAAATGCTATTAACCTTCCTCTGATAGCATGATAGAAGTGCGTAGCGTTGCCAGAATAAAAACTCGATTGCGATGTTTTCTTATTTCTAGAAACTATCATGCAACAATTTCTTGAAGAAACCAATGTTGTTCCGCGACACATCTGAGGTCTTGTTATTGTGCGTTAGGAATTTTTTGATGGCAACTTTTGTTCCATTTTCGTGAGGCTGACCTCATAAGATTTTTTTGTTGCAATGATGCAATTCGTAAAGTACTCAGACAAGTATAATACCTTTACTATGGATGAGGATTTGAGGGGCAATTTAGCAATTCTAATTCACTTCTGTTTGCATTAAAATGCTATGGCAGACTAACATTTTTGCTTTGCAATCAGCGTGGGCAAGGAAGGAAATGACATTTCATTAATGGAATCAAATTTTACAGATAAGCTATTTCGGATACTTTCTGATAATATTCTTCTGATGGAGATTCTCATTACTGCTACAGGATTAGGGGCTTTAGTGGAAAGCTTAATCAAGTCGGTCAGTTTTGTCGTAACTGGTGTGTAAATCTGCGCCAAAGATACGAGTTGTTTGCTTCCCTCCGAGGATTGCAAAGTGCTGTACAGGCTACTTTTGTCTTACCAAAACTCATTCGATCATGCTCGTACCCCCAATGTTCTCTTCGCCCGCGATCACACCCAGTTTTTTTCTCAGTGTTTGTGTATGTGCATAAAGCTGTTTTTTCCACACAAATTATACTCTTCTCTCTACGTCTTGACACCCACTCTTCCCTTTGAAATAGCCCAAGATTCGTTTATTGAGTCAAGTGGCCTCCTGGCCCCTGGGTCGTTTACAGAATGCCATTTTGTGTGTTCTCTTTTGTTGATCACTGCACTGTGCTACCCTTCTGACCTCAATAAATTTAACCGTTCATTTTGACAGTCTTCAGCTGATCTGCTTGGTGGTAGATATGGCCACTTTTTTCCTATGCTCAGGAGCCTCTGTTTGGTTGCCAATACGGCAATATGCCTACGTGTACATCCTTGAGATTAAGTATGAATATGCCATTCGTCCAACCGCCTCTCTGATTTGTCAGTGATGTAAGTTACGCGGATTGGGTACGTTAATGAAATTGGTACTGATAAGTGGTCACATTGTTTCCTCTATCCTGCACTACTCTAATCTCATTTCTTGGATTCCAAACCAGTATTTAGTCCCCACAGGATGAATTCAACGCTTTCTGGAAGGTAGTCAACTTAAAGTATTTAAAATCCAGTACACGAATTCACCACCTAGTCTTTTTAAACCCCATTTTGGCATTCAAGTGTAGATGAGAATTTTGGCTTGCCTTTTTAAGGTTTTTATTAGCAAAGTACGTTTCACTTTGATATTCGGCATATTTACCTTGAAAAACGTGAGCTGAACCTCAAGGATTCTTATCAATCTGTTTAAAATCGACGATTTTTGTATGAAGTGGTAAGAGGAGTGAGCCATGATCGAGTAGTTCCCCCTTTCCTTTTCGCATCACCTCAGGTCGCCAGTCCGACGATGAATTTGTCAATTTCTCCAAGCGTCAAGGAGGGCCCTGCCTCGCCCTCTGCTTCGGCGGCGCCCGTCACCGACTACGACTACGCGTACAATCGCTCCTGGTCAATGGGAGTTCAGGTGAGTCCCTCCCTCCTTCTAAGCACGGAATTACTTTCCTTTCAGTTCCACATCAAGTAAATGAAAGGCGATTCAATTCGCTTGTCAAAGATTTTGCAGTCTCGTTGAGTAGGTAAATTGCAATGGGCACTGCAACACCTAATCGATCCTATGAGCTGCTCAATTGTGCTGTGAAGCCATTTTCTGACGTTGAAGCTTCTTTTCCACTGATACATTTCTTTTGCTATGATTGCATGATAGTAGATGCACCGGTCATCAATTTGGAGGTCAAGTTTTTGTGATGTTTCAATAATTGCTTTGAATTATATGCGCGATTTTTCCTGATGGGGATTTTACTTCAATGCAGATGGGAATTGAGGCTCTTGTTTTTCACATCACTTCATTTTGACTGCTGCCTTGAACGATATTGTTTAGCAGAACAAAGTATACCTGAGTGGTATTGACCGCCACCACTTAACGCAAACAACGAAGCTCTGCAAATGCCCAGCCGGTAGGTAGAAAATCTAAGCCAAAGCATGTTCCGATCCCTTCATTATCAGCGACGGCAGCACGAGAAGCACTCCTTACACTTCTCTCTTATCCGATTTTGTGCTCTATAGCACTGCACTGCCCAAAGCAAAGCTGGTTTTAAGTATATGGTCGCTTCGTCACCGCATTCCAATGAACACTGCATTAGTACTTTGCATTGTGAATCTCATGATTTCCGTCATAAAACCACCTCCATTGTGCAAGACCAAAGCCTCGCTGCACTTTACGCCTTGAAATGTCTGTCCATTTGGTCACTATTTAACTTTGGCTACACCTTTCCTGATAAACGTTCCACTTTTGCCCACTCCAAAATCGCCAATCGAATAGAAATAGCTATGGTTTTTTTATACAAAGCAATGCATGTTGCATCGATTACGATTGTTTTAGCCTAACAACTTCGAGTTCATGAACATTAGCATGCATTTCTACTAGTTAGCGGCAAGTGATTGGCTGCTAGTCAAGTGCTCCGAAGCAATAAGTGGCTCAAAATATTCTTAACTACTGCTACATACTTGTCTGAAGGCTTTGTGGAAATACAAAACATGGATTGAAGTTGAGGCACTGTGTCTATTTCCAAAGCAGGCGAAGGTGCCACGGTATATTGGGGCAATCGCAACGGGAATGAGGAAGGTGCGAAGTCTAAAATTCGTGTCGTTACCCCGGTGTTTGAAGTATTTGAGCCACTCCAAAGGCAGTAAAAGTTTTCCACTCCCCCTTTCAGTGTAGGATAGGGCCAGAACAAGCCAGGCTACTGCACACCTACGTGTGCAGGCGTAGCACATTCAAGCGCGGGCGTCCTCGGGAGGAGGACAGTGCTTTTGATGATGATTTGCGGGTTGCTCTCTGTTCTCGCACTGCAATCGGAGTGTCACCCAACTAAGCGAAGTGCCTCGTGGGGGGCTTTTTTCATCACTCCCCAGAGTGAGAAATAGACTTTGAAAAATTCACTTGAAAGTTAAATCCACGACTGGTCTTGCTTGTACCTTTCACCACTGCGTTGTTTGACCTAAAGGGTGGTGGCAGAATTGTTATAATCCATATTCCCGTTGAACAAATTGTAATAAACATTTGGTTCTTGGCATAGCTTTTAAAGCTGATAATATGTCTGGTATGTGCAATCTTGCTTTTCATACTTATGAATGAGGCTTCATTCTTTATCAGAACCTAGTAGAATGGGAAGTGGTTTTTTTCAACGTAGTTGAACCTATCACTCAATCTGGCCTCCAACACGGACGGTTCTGCGGACCAGAGAGTGGGACCGATGGCAGGCGAGGTGGGTGAGAAGCCGGTATTGTCGATTTCAGGCACCTCATCGCCGCCACCACCGCCGCCCCATCGATCGGCTTCAATAATGACGCCCACTACGACACAGTTCAGTCCACCACAGTCACCCACGCCGATGCGACGTCAGTGCGCGATACCTCATGTCACTGCCGATGTCGGTGTCGGGATGTCTCCACCGAGTTCGCGGGCCCGTGGTGTGCATAATCCTCTGGCCTCAGGAGTGCCAATACCCCTCACACCCTCCTCGCCACCCTCAGAGGAGTCCTCTTCCACGATGAGAGGCGATACCTCCGGCGCTGCCTCCACCGCCGCTACAGTTGCTGTGCCTGGCCTCCTGCCGCATATGTCGCGCCTCCTTGCTGACTGGGACAACATGTCCACGGACAGCTGTGAGGAACCATGGGATGTTCGACACGGCAAAGTCATCTCTCAACTCACTAGTGAGTGCTACTTGTCCTATTATCCTTGATCTCTAGTGCTATGACTTGACTATTTTTTAGCCTTAGGAACAATAACTTTCAAGCCGTCAAAAATTAAGAGAATGAATATGCTCCTTCGTCGTCTGGGGATCGATTCTTTCTTTTCCGTCTGGTGGCATTACACCAATCGTGCGTTGTCCTATCTCTGTTTCTTGGCCGCTATAGTCGGTCAAATGTGATTTGAAACGGTTTTACTCTAGCAATCGGCATTATTCCGTAACAGAAGTTCCCTTATTATGGCTTATTTTATCACGAATAGAATTTCCGAAAAAAATTAGAGCGATTTTAAACTTTAAATAAATAATTTCTTCGCTCGAAAATGTCGATTGAATCCTGGCTTCTAGTTGGTTTGTATTAAAACCTTACAATTAAGATATTGGTGGATATACTGTTATGAAATGTTATACTCTCACTTTTTGGGGAAACTATATATATAAGGAAGACTTTAAAGAAGTGTACCAAATTTTAGGCGACTTTCAGTACATTCTGAGGCAAGTAAAAGCTGCAAATATTAACAAACAAGTTTAGGAAGCCCTCTTGTTAAACTTAACCGAATTCAGATGCCTGGATGTTGATTGGTCTAGGCAGAATACTTTTTGATTTTGTAAGCGATTTAGTTGTCACTAGGTTCTATACTCCTCTTTCATCGCTGTTGATCGGTCCCTCCGGCTTTACTTTGATGTCAGGCTCTCGTTTCATCGACCCCTCGGAGGTACTCTCGGCGGTGGCCAACGGGAACCACAATGGGGCATCCACTGGCGCCAGTGGTGGGGGCGTCTCTAACGGGCACTCGGAGGGTCGGGTTGCCGCGGGGTTGGTGATGGATGGGGAGGGTGCAGTACCAATGTCGCCTTCTTCGAATATCTCCCAGCCCATCTCTTCCCCCTCGCCCCTCGCTCGCAGTCCCTCCGATGTCAAGACGCAGAACTGCCTCAAACCTCTCAATGAACAACCGTGAGCCACACACCTAAGACCTCTAACTTTTTCATACACATAAAGTATAAACCCCTCTTTAGGAAATTTGAGTTATCACAATCGGCAGTGTGTCTGTAGAGTCTGTAAAATCTCGTAGGGGACTTTCAGGTGAGGCATTTTTAGCAGATAAAATGCAGGTAAGGCGTACCAGTTTAGACATCATCAATGCATATCTTGAAGCAAATTTTGGGCGATCAGAGACAATGATGCACCCGTCTTTAAAGCTTCAGTTCACACTGTGAGGGGATACTGCTTTCATTCATCATTTTGGCCTCAAGAAAGGGATTCAAATTTGCGTGCAGTCACTTTTGCGTGTTATTCGCTTTGACACCAGAGAGTGAGATGGCCGTCAATTTTACGACTCCTTGAGGCATTAAGAAGGCTGAGTTGCTTTCCTCTATCACTACAGCATTTGGTGGATCGCCAACATTTGTTATCAAATAAAGTGACCGTAATCGAGTAGAAAAATAGATGATGTTTTCAATCATACAATTTTTCAGAGACTGGTATCAATGTTTACGAATCAACAAAGTTTAAATAGGCATTGACACCTGAGACTACAAGTATGCTGCTAAATGTTCATCTTAGCAGTTTTAAGATAGCCCGTGTCACTGAAAGAACAGGTTTGTATTCTTCCAGCGTAGGAGCCCTTGGCCAGAAAGATGCTTTGATGCACGTGATTTGACAAATAAATTAAGGTGAAATCGTTGTTTTTTTTTTAATTGTGTTGCGGGGTCTTTGGGAGCATCCATAAGTAAAGGAAACCCAGGGGTATGGTCTTATTGGTGCTTTCCTCTTCTCTAGGTGGTTTCATCCCAATCTCACGCGGTTCGGAGCAGAGAAGCGGCTGCGATCCGAGCCTGAGGGTAGTTTCCTGGTGCGCAACAGCGAAACTCTAAAGAATGAGTACTCTCTCACGGTCAAGTAAGTTGCTACGTTTGCGGCATTCTCGTTGTTGAATTGCGATAAAAAGTGCGGGCAATGGAGGCAATTCAGAGGCGCGAACAAGACTACGGGATTACAATGCCAATGCAGTTTTGCAAATACTTGTAAAGCTACTGTATCCTCTCCGAAGGATTGTGTTGTTTCAGCTTTTTAGGACCATACATCAAAAAAGTAGTCTGTGAGCCACTGTTTTATTTCCCAAGCAGGTACCAAAATTATTAGCTGCAGCTAGGAAACAGGGTTGCCATCTTGCGGTTAGTAGTTGGCACATTTCTGAGAGCAAGTCATCCATCAAGGCATCTTGCTTGTGTGCGGGAGAGTGGGACGATCCTATATCAGTGGTAACATTTTCTAGGGTAATTGAAGTACATGTATGCAGTGTCCCGTGATTTTTTGTTCTACAACTTCGCAAAATCATAGTGAACTTTGGCCATACAACGGCTGTGGAACGTGTGTTTTTGTTTACCGAGATCCACTCACGTGGATCTGGGCACTAATTTTTTAATAAAAAACATGGCTCAAGCACCGCATAAGTCATTCAAACTCGGGTGCCTTGCAGCATCGAATGGGCGAGCGCAGATTAAAATAAAGTAGAGGTTTTGAATTTATTTTTGGCTCTTGAAGATGGCAGGGAGGGGGCAGCAGAAACTATTGTAGCGCCCAGGTTATGCCCAAAACCGTTAAAAGCTACGCGAGTGTTGAAGCAACTTTATTATCAGCATAAAAAGTGCTGGGATGGTCGTAACACAAGCAGGAAAGGGGGAGGTGGATAGCTTTGGACCGAAAGGAATGAATACCACTTTTACCCTCTTTTGCATTGCAGACACAATGGGTTCCTGCACATGAGGATTACGCGAGACGCGCAGGGCCAGTTTGTGCTAGGTGAGTACAGCCAGCCCTATCCTAGCATTCCACACATGATCTCCCACTACGAGCAGACCCAAGTGCCGGTGAAGGGTGCAGACTCGGTCACTCTCTGCCATCCCCGTTGAAGGGCACCCACTCCTTCTCAGCTGCAGACTTTTGATATGCCCTCCCAGCCCCTCTTCACCAAGATTTGGACTGAAAAACCGAGTGAACTTATGTTTCCATAAATACACACCACTGTTCCTGCATCTCTTTCTTCCTGCTCCTGCCATTTGCCTTCTCCTGCTCCCTGTAATCGTATTATTGGATTATTTCGATATTTTCTACTTCTCGTAAGCGTGCACTGGAGAGCGTGGAGGAGGAGAGATGACGGAGCACACCGTCATGAATCCACTATTATGCCCAATACTCCCAGTCTGTACCCCATTTCCTTTATCCGGCTCCTGCTCTCACCCCTCTCGCAATATCTGTATTCGCAGGCTTGTTTCTATGCTAAGAGTATGCACAGGAACATTCGGTAATGATGAATTTGACGTCTGTCGCTTGAGGAGGCCCATCGCGCATTTAATACCACTACTTCAATTTCGAGCAAAAATAAAAGTCCCCATTTTCATAGGCGACACTTTAGTCGGTGAGTGTGTTGAGAGGTCGCCCTTACTAAAATTCCACACGCAGGCGGTGGGAGCGTGGGAATTTGTCCACAAATTAGTTGCACACGAGGATTCAACATGGATTTCTTCTAAATACTAGCCTAGGGTAGGCGAAGGTCATGTCAGGGTTTGGATGTCTGAGTTATACATAAACTAAAGCGTATCATGAATGTTTAAAATGTGGTCTGAAACCACAGCCATTCCGGGCACGGCGCGGTCTCTGACGTCCGGGGATCAATGCATCACGAGCAAATGAAAGATCCAAGTTCTTTGGTTGAGGAAACTGTAAAGTTGTAATGTGGTGCGTTGGTTGTTAATTTAACGGTCCGTTTTGGTAAAGGGCCACTTTATCTTGACCATTGTACCACGGTGGGTGGGCCGGCCTTTGGGCCATTCCAGTAGCCCAAATACCTTCTCTGTGCCCAATATACATATTCTACCCAAGCATAATGCCTTCTTTCGTCCTCAGGGAAGTCTTGGGAAGTTACATGTATTTCGGCGTATTTTAGCCGATGGGGATCGGTGATCACAGCCTAAAAGGGGACGAGGCCGAACTTCTCGAGGCTGAAGTAATACACATCTTGCTACGTAAAGGCCATGGAAACACGAAAGCAGCGTTTCCATTTCATTTATTAAGATCTGTATTTTTAAACAGGCATTACGACAATACTGTGTTTTTAGAGGCTACAAATACAAGCTAATGTATTTTAAAGCTTAGCTAATAGCTAAAAATAAAATAAACGTCAGGAAAGTTCTCGTATTTTAAGCAAAATCAGAAATGCCAAACAAAAATACAAATGCTTATGATCGATAAATTTCCAAGAATTATCCCCGTTGTTTTTAGACAGAAGTTAAAAAATCCAGTTAAATGAAAAATTATGGTAAAATGCTCCTTGTGAGTCCACAGAAAATAGAAGTATTTTTAATTATTAACCGCATAACCAATCAAAATGCTAAGCGCAAGGTAGTCTGTATGTATTTTGGGGCAGGGGCACGTAGTTGGTTATAATGGGAAAGCTGGCGAAGTTCTTTAGTAGATTTTCGGTGGATAAGTTCCCAAAAGAAAGTCAGGGACGCCGTCTCAATGAAGTTCGACCCGAAAATAACTCTAAACAGACACGTAAGGAATCACCACCATCAATACCCCGTGGACCACCATCCGAAGGGGCAATGAGGGCTGCTGACGCAGCACTTAGTCGAATCGCAGCGAAGCAAGTTCCGTCAAGTAATCCCAAGCTCATCAGATGAAAATTTTATAGAAACGCCTATACAGCGCAGGGTGGAAGCTGAAAGTGCCCGTATGAAGAAACAGATGGAGGAGGCTGAGGCCTTAGCCAGTCGGTTCAGCAAAAGTGCGGTCACTTGCGATGCTGGGGGTCCATTAAAAAGTTAGCCTCGTTTTTTCACGTTATTCTTGTTGTCTATTAGTCGTTTCTGATACCTGTAGTGTTTTCTCGAATTGATTATCTTCAAAACCAAAGCTTATTTTTCATTTCTAGAGGTCACATTCTCGTGCCCTAGACTCCTTGGTGACAGCGTTCGAGGCACTTATGCCGAGGTAGACACCTTGATTGAGCAAGAGCTTCTTGAAGAATCCGAGCATGATCCAGCTGGCGCCTACACTTTGCTCATTATTCGAAGCATCGAGTCTAGCCAATATCCGACTGGTGTCGATGCAAACGATACATCTGTCCCCAGTATTCAGACTTTTCGCGATAAGCGAAAGCAGAACTTTATCACCATAATTCGCAATTTAATTGAGAACCCCGAAAAGGAGAATTTTCGCCGACTACGAATGGGTAACAAGTCAATAGCGGATCTTCTGGAGCTGAAGTTTGCGGTCAACTTCTTTGAGGTAAGCGAGGAATCTTCGCATTGACACCGCCAATGCTTTAGACCTGCGGGTTTATACAAAGGGAGCAACCAACTAATTCCGAGGCGGATGCACCAATGGAGAGGTACTTAGTCTTCCCGGCAGCACCGACTGAAGAGCAATTGTACCACTTAAAAAGTATGCTTAGTCTCCTTGAGTCTGGCGAACTTATTGCACCGAGGATTAACCGTGATACAACTATTCTTCAGGTAACTTACGCGTTGTTACTTATTTGCGATGCAAACTTTGATGCAAATGTGATCTGAACAAAGTTATTTGATTTCAGGCCAAATATTACGTAAACCTGCATAATATTTGCCAACATTTTTAATGTAATTGGATTCACGATGCTAATGAGCAATGTTAGGTAGTGATATGGTGATCCCTACAGTATTGGACACCGTTATATAGAGGCAAATCAGTTTGCGTCAGATCCCCTTTCGTAGTTTACTCATGTTGTGATTCTGAGCGCTACCGGGTAATTTCAAAACATAGAGCTAATCCTTTCATATCTGATATTTCTCTTTCAATGCCTTGTGGTTTTCTAAAATGACTCATACCTAATAAGTCCATCACATGTTTCACTACCTATTTGCATTTCCTAGCCCATTCTATGACAAAATTGTCCAAGTAACCCAGAAGCAAGTCAGTGTCATCCTTTTTCACGTTATAAATTCACAGAACTTCCTAGTACTAGGTGTTCTGCTGTCTTTGAGTTCGCTTAGGGTGTATGCAACTCACGAAGTATGCATCCCCTCTGACCATTTAAGTGAAAAGACCAAAGGAGTTTCAGACTATTGGTGCTATTTTGTACAATAAGCGTCCTAGTGCTAAAGGATGTTTGACTACGTAATTACTCGCCCTGTGAGCAGGCGAGCGAGAACGAGGTGCGCGACCTGGCGAAGGAGGAACTGCCAGCAGAATTCTTCCTTGTCTCGCGCGACGACCTGCGACGGTGGAATGAGGAGCTGCAGCGCATGGAGAAGGAAAAAGTACTTCTCACCAAGGCTATGCGCGAGCGCCTCAAGTCGCGCGACCGCCGTCTCTACCGCTATGCCCTCATCCGCGTCCGACTGCCTCACAACAACATCATGATTCAGGTGTGTCTGAACCCCACTCCCCTCGATGCGGGTATCAAGTGAATTGAACCAATCACGCGACATCGATAGGGGCACTATGCGATTGGCTAGAGGGGCTTAATGCGAGGGAATTGTTTCATGGATCCGGGTTTAATAGTAGCTAAGAGCACATCAGTTGTTACGGGGTAGGCTGCGCGCTCTGCCTAGGGGTAATGTTGCCTCTTACTACATCAGTATTGAGGAATGGCAGTGTACATATCATTCTCCACTGTGACCACATTTTGTGATATAAACGTATCGAATTCGATTTAAATATACAGTTTTGCGAATCGCACTGCACCGGATCCGCTCTCATGCAAATGGGCTTGTTTCATGTCCTACATTGCAAGCATAATGGTGCGGTTACTCGTAGATTTATGGAACGCTTTGAAGGTGTAAGTGAATAGATAGCTGAGTGTCTTATCCGTAGATGAGGTCATTCTTAAGTAATGCACTGATCCGATTGAAACTGTCAAAAGGCGTTTTGTAATTTTAAACGTCATGGCGGCATGTTACGCTTGCTACGCAAAAGTATGAAACTACCATTCCCGGATAACAATATATTTTGGAATCTAGTCCCGTTAAATTTGTGCATCACAGTTAGTAAAACTTTTTGTATTGGTTACTTGAAAAATGGCGAATGATTGGAACCCAAACCGGCGATTTGCAAATCTAACACGATTTGGCACTTAACTAGTTCTTCGTTCTGCTGCATTGCACCAGTTTTACCGACATTTATTTGACTACAACTTCTGTTTCACTTCATCTGATGAAATGAAAAATTGTCATGATTCGCGAATTTCACAATTCTGGTAATCATAACTGCGGGCAAGTTGTAAGCATTGGACGTCGTGCTGGACCATTTTAGGGTACATTTATGTCGACGGAGACGGTTAATGATGTCCGATTTTGGGTGAGCAGTTGCCTGGCGGATCAGGGCCTTGAGTACAGCCTATGGGCACCGCCGGGACAAATTTCCTCGATCACAGCGGGCAGTGGAAGTCGCCCAGCGACAGCGCGAGTCCTGCTGGACGACTGCGAGCCTACAGCGAGCCTCGTGGACCTCGGTCTGGCCCCCAGCGCCATTCTCACCCTTGGGGTGAAATCGGTGACTGCCCAAGCAATAGCCATCCGGCTTCTACCGGAGTTGGAGCATCAGATTATCCCTCTGCAATAGCTATTGTGATATCCACTCCTTTTCGTTGCGTCCACAATCACTTTATTCCTCCCCCTGATGAAGACAGTCCTGGTTTATGCTTTATTTTGTCGCCAGTCTGATGGAAAAGCAAGTATTTTATTTGCTTTGTTCGAGAATGTATTGACGATAAATCAATTAATTGCAAACTTATGGCGATTATGATTTCGTAGTCTCTAGATCTCTCCAACTTACGGAAACGATATTGCCAAGAATCTTGGATAACATCCTGTTTTTTGAGCCTTCACAACTACCTCCTAGGTTGCAGGATAGGCTCATACAACTTCTGCCTTGGTTGACTATTCTTCAACGCAGTCCTTATGCCTTTGGTTATACTTTTTGAGCGGAAGTATGGTCATAGTCATATTTACGACGTAGGTGCTGTCCCAATTAGCATTTTTTTGACCGAAGTGTGAATTACTCAGCGGCAAATTGGAGGCTACATAATATCAATATCTGATGGCGAGGATGCGGCACTCTTTACACCATCGTCATCTCTTTAATGAGTGCTCTCAGTACAACTCAATATTTGAATGTAAAATCAGGTTTTTCAGGCACTAGTCCCACCTTCTGTGGGGAACGGGTATTCGGCCAATGTAGCGCTCCTGATACTCAGTGGGTCTCTTCAGCTGCTTTACGTAGGCAACGGTTCTCGCGTCCTCCTCCTGATACTCGCGAAACGTCTTCGAAGGAGACGGGAAGACGAGGAGTCCATGGTGGTTGATTGGCAACATCGAGGACTCCCAGTATTCGGGACCTTAGATATGAAGTGGATAATGGGTGATAGTCTTTTGCTCTCACGTGGAGACTTGTTTGGCGGGTTGTCAGTGAAGTTATGCCGAGGTCCCACAGAGCAGTTTGGTGGCCCCACATTTGTTTTATTACTCCACCTAATTGATATTTTGTTAGGGAAAGATAAAGTCATCTTCCAAATGCTAGATCCTGCCATTGCTCACAATTAGCACAACTCCACTTTGGCTGCGTGGAAAGACAGGATGCCCCGGAAGGACGTCGGTGCGTTGTGCGCTGTTATAACTATTAAAATGTAAGTTTAACATCACTGAATTGCGGGATTTCTGTTTATTTTGAAAACAAACAAGCAATTATGGAGCACCAATACTCTGTAGAATGCAGCGATTTGTGCTCTCTGACACTTGAAAATGACATGAGTAGAGCACATTACGATTACTTTTGGGCTTCACTTTTCCGATTTACTTTGCTTTTTCTTATTTTTAAAGTTGAGCAACAGTGTTGGATAAGGAAGACTTACAAACGAATTTGCTGGACGTGGTGCAGAGTTTCGGTTCATCTAGCATAGCCGCGCAAGGTCTAACGAGTGGCCAACACGGGTAGCCTCCGCAGAGATGCGAATCGCAACAGCTTTGTAAACATCTTGAAATTCTGGTCCCTATAAAAGATGCAATTTCATTAGAGTCGCCAAAACCTTGGCTTACATTCATAGCGATGACTTACTGCACCAAGTTAAAGGGTGATGATAAAAATGGGCGAAAAGTACAAGGGGAGATTTCGACAGAGCTGGGTTTCCAAAGGTCGGGAGCACATCACGTATACTTAACCCTTACCTGAGAGGAAGATGACTTTATAAATTGGTAGGTCACTAAAGCCTATCAGTTCAGATAGAAATCCTGGTGGGTTTGAAGACCTTTAAAACAATTAAGCATTTAAAATCTGAGGCTTATGCATAAAGTAAAGTTTCCACAATTAATACCATCAACATGGTGCACATTTACAAGAAATATAGATAATCTCGATTTCTGACAAGCGGTTGCATCCTTCTTCATTTACGATCTTGACAACTGTGCCTGAAATGTGACGATAGTTTTGTTTTAAAAAAGGTTAAAAAGAGCACTCCTTTGATTGAAGAAAATTATTTGTGGGGAATGTTTCAACTGCTTTTTGTAATTTTATGTTACTGTTTGACGAAAGCCACCCATTCTCAAATGACAAATAAGCGAGCTTCAAATTGATTCATACAAAGGGAGCGGTTGGAAATGTGAGGCACAAATCAGTTGTAGCCGTAAATTCCCTTGGCAAGAAGTTGGATGCTGTGATGGTTAAAGATTTGGTTGAATCAAAAAAGGAGGTAAAAATGGCGGAGAAAGTACAGGTAAACAAATGATACGTATCCCGTGACTGTGGTCATGCACGAGTTTGTGATAACTATGAATTAGATCGAAAATCTTCACTCTACAAGGTGCCCCATGATCACTCAAATAAACGTAGCAAAGATGTGATTAAGCTTCCTTTCTTGCAAGTCAAAATCTCGAGCAATTCATCATAATTAATTTGAAGTTTTTTACAGAGTTTGGAGTCTCTATAATTTGATTTGATGCCATCAACAGTGAGGGATCAAGAGGGGTACACCCAGGCATCATACAAACTACTTGAGACTAAAACTAGATATGCGTTGAAAAACCCGTATTTTAATATGAATTAATTAATTAAACGTCGTTTGGAGTTGGCAACAGAGAGGGATCTTCCGTGCATCGCAACAAAATTTAGTGGGTGCCTAGCAAAGGGTGCCAGTAGTCAGTGGTGCTAGCGGCTAGGAAGTAGCGAGTAAGGAGAGGAGAAGATCTACAGAAAGCAGCTACCTATGCAAACAGGAGAAAGCCACCGCACAGCGTACTTCATTTATGACTGTAAACCAGTTTTATAAGAAACCACACTAGCTATGACTTGGAATTTGACGTAAAATGGGAACAAGAAGGAAAAATATACAGAAGTACATCATTGGCATCCAGCGTTTGGAAGCATCTTCGGACTGCAATAGCTGGGGATTTGATTTTTAAACGTCATGCCTGAAAAAATCACGATCGCATACAGACAGTCATGTGGAGCGATCAAGGCGTGATTTAGCAGTGAAGGCGATAGTGAACAATCTATCGTTGACATAACTCTGTGTCAAAATTTTTATGTAACAGAGCCTGCAACTAGGATGTGAGAAGATTCTCCCTTGTACTGCACTAAAAATGTTTTGTTGAATTATGTGGGTGAGATTGAGTGTTGTCAGTGGTTTAAAAGGAAGGAGGATATAGATTGGGTGTTAATTTAACTTCTTCTCCTGGGACTTATTTCCTCCCTAATTATCCTGAAATTGGCCTTTTTAGAATTTCAGAGGCGTATGACTTAATTTAACAGTTAGGGGACGAGAAAGTGTTTACAGACAATTGTACAAAAAGTTTTACTTTTTTAAGTACAACATGTTTGAGGCTCGATAAAGCTCAACCAGCAGTTCTAAACTAACAAACAACACATCTACTATGTATGAAGCATATCTTGGGTACGAAAATGGAGGCCTCACGCGCCTGTGACACTAGTGGCATACGTACTGCAAATCAATGAAAGGACGGAGAGGTGGAGAAAAGGGGAGGAGAGGACAGTGACCTGCGCAATAGGGTGGCCACTGGACAGCGGCACCGCAGGGCGCACCATCGTGCTGCGCCTCGGAGCGTCGGCTAAAGCGCGGTCCCACGCACATGAGGTCGGGACCGTTGGTGTGGTAGAGGACGCTGCGTGGCACCTTGTAGGTGTACGAAACACGGTGAAATTTTTCTAAATCCTTCAATGGCTTCACCTCATTGAAGAACGACCTTGGGTCCTACAGCAGTCAGAACATCAAAAGGACAATGATGCTTCGTATTATCGCCAATAACATCCGGATGTGAGACATCTTTTGCACGTCCAATACAGAAGGTGGTTCAAAACGTTTCTTGCTATTTTGGACACAGTTTGCTGCAATAACTCATTACATTTGGTAGGGGTTTACCAAATGCATTCAATTTTACATATTTCCGTTTGTCTGTTGTTATCGGTTGAATCTGAAGCATATGATTCAAGCTTGTCTACTTAATCGACTAGGTTTAACCCTGTTCTAAAGTTGTAGAGGCTTTTTGTTAAATCTACATAGCACTTGAGAAGGATGCAGTGCATAATGGTAGAACGCGCTGATTAGAAATGATTTAAACAGCGTGGCTCTGAAGTTAGTTACTTGTGTTCAAGTGGATAGAATTAATATAGTAGGGTTTTGCATTAATATTGGTCAAAATAAGTCCAGAAATACGTTGCAAATTTTTTTTAAGTCTAGCATAAGTGATGATAAGCGTTTTTTAAAGCTGCGTTAAGTGGAGAGGGAAAGTAGTGGTGGAACCTACTGAGAGAATGAGTATCACATGCCTAACATTAGTAAAGACAACAATAAGCTTAAAAGACTATCAGTTTGCTCTTTGCTTAGTTTGCGTTAGAGTACTGGCTGACGTTTGATCTTAAACGGCTTATGCCTTGGAACACTAAGCGAAGAAAAGTGTCATTGGTTGTCCTCAGACTTTAAAGCCACGTATCAGTTTATCCACTATTTTCAGAGGACTGCTTGCTTCGTGCGTGATGGCTCGCAGACGCAATCATTCACTTACTTATGGCCAACAGTTACGGCTGAGATCTATCTAGTCGGTGAAACACAACTTAGCCATCAAGAAAATGATGGTTTTGAGAAGCTGTCACGACTATGAATTGGTGGAAAGAAAGTACGATAATTACAAAGACGCATGACCTCATCTGTCGCAAGGATGACATGTGATAAGCTTTATATCTTAGAACAGGCAAGCGAACGGTACTGTCTCCGCGATGAAATCGCTATAAGTGATGCTCATCACCTCTTCTTGACATCAGACAATCATATGCGGATTAGGCAAACAGGAGAGACAAGCGAGATAAAAAAGGTGACTAACGTTGTTTTGCTTGCCTCTAGGGAAACAAATGCTAAAGTGTGGATTACAGCAAGCAAACGTCTCGCTGTGAAAAAATTGCGGTGCTAATGTGTAACTTTCAGCAAGTAAGATGTTTTAGAAGCTTTCTACAGTTAGTTAATTATTATTGTGGGCAACCGCACAAAATCACTTTGTTATACTATGGTTTAAGAAAGCCACAAATTTTGCCTAAGATTCGAGGACAGTCGATAACACAAGCAGAAGTTAAAAAATGTAACGCCATAACTTTACTCTAGCTGAATGATGCAAATATATGCTAACATTCACGATGGAAATATGCTAAAGGACCTTGGCACACTTTGCACATCTGCAGCGAAACCATCAAAAGACGCATGAGAGTAACTCTCACATCGCATAACCGGCCTGATTAAGGTTATTAACCAATTAGAATATTACTGAATTTTACAATTCTACGACTGCGTGGAGAAGATTGAAGAAGTTAAACATACATTGCGGTATCGGTCGCGAGGAATGATGGGGGTGCCGTCTCTGAGACCCTTGTAGGTGCGCGGCTTCTGAGTGTACGGATCGATGTCAGGAGAGTCCACAAGTGGAGGAAGGGAGGTGCACTTAAGCTCCACATTGCTTGGCATTTGTCAAAATTACTAAAACGACGAAAAAAGTTCAAGTTTTGTGCAAAAAATGTTTGATTAAGGAGATGTTTACGAAAACTGGAAAGTAAAGAGAGGAGATGTTCTCATATGTGTCCATAACCACAACTCTTCAAGCAATTAATCAGAAATAAAAAGGTCATCCTTAAGATCAGATAAATAAATATAAAAAACATTCATTTGTGAAAACCCTAAAATACAACTAATTTGACAAAAAAACAGTTGTGAAATTTACTACTATCAGATCCACTAGGGAGAAACACAATAATATTAAACTTTTCATTTAGTTTCAAACTTCTTGATTATAAGTGACTTTGGATGGCAAAAAAACTCCCCAATCTACCTATAAAAAGATAGCCAGATAATAGCTTACGAAAACTCGTGGCAGCAGTTAGTGCGGGTCATTAAGAATGGTGTCTATTTATAGAGTTAAAAATATCTTTCAAAATATCTTTCAGCGTTATAAAAAGTACATGGAATTCAGCAAAAAGGCCAAACCTTTGATTTGTCAAAAAATTTAAAATTTATGAACTCAAAACAGACATAAAATTTCGAAAAAAGCAAAGAGAGCAAATGACACCGCCTACATGTGGGAGCTAATCAATTACATGCGGCTTAAAGAGGAAGATATGACCTTAGCAACGTAAAAACCAGTGAGGTCATAAGCAATTAAGACTATAAAGATTGTTTGAAAACTATTGCCAATATACAAAGAGACAAACAAAACCAAGAGTTTAACTAACATATAAGAGTTTCGCTAGGTGGATAGAAAAGAAGTAGTTTAGGAAGGATAAATAATACCCCTAAAGAGTAAAACCTTAAAAGTTCTAAGAATCTTCTTATAACGCGACCTACACTTTTTAGAATGAAGCGGATAGCTTAAATCATCAGCTTTTTTTGAAAATTTTAATTATACGCAAGACCATGAATCATATTTAGAGGTGTATGTGTCAGTCCCTAATTACGGACTATAACGCAATCCTAAAGTATGCCATGAGCTTCAGGAACCGTTTCTGTGGGGCTAAATAAGTTAGAATTGGCGTAACTACCGCTAAACTTAGAGCAGAACTTAACGCTACTGTGTTGAAAGCAGCGGTGCTGTAAAGGTCATTGTCGTGGCAGCACAAATTCTTCAGACTACCCCATAATATTGCCTGCACTAACATTTGATCACATTTACAACGTGGTAAACAAATTCCAAAGCTTAAAATTAGAAAAAGAATTGTTGGAAATGAAAAAATAGGGGATTAGTGGGGAGACTACCCATTATGAAGTTTTCAGTCAACATGAATATGCGCAAGCATCAGGATGAATATAGAGGCCAACACTTCTGAGTGATTGAATTTTACAAGTACGTAAGGGTTATTTTTAAAGGCTATGTAGTGATGAGATAATTATTACATTAGGCAAGCATTTACCAGCGAGTCACAATTTTGGCCTTTTTAGTCCTGCTTACGTATTTTGATTTCACACTGCACCATAAAAATTGAACTAATTTTTGATTGCGTTGTTTGTCTTTTTAACCATACTGACTTTGAGAGGCACTTTTTCGAGTTGGCGGCTTCTGGGGTATGTGTTTACTGCCTAGACGGGTTGTCTTTTGCACATGGGCAAAATTAGGCAATATTTTTACTCAGTGCAGTTTGAATTAGCCCTTCAAACTTTTTTTGCACGCTACGTGAAAACAAAATTGTTGGGTGAATCTCGTTTTACTTTTAGTTTTTTTTGAGGACTGAATAGGCAAGATTCATTTTTACTGAGTAGCTTTTGACACCCTACTTCTCTAATAAATAAAGTAATAAATGAAATAAATAAAAATAATTTTGTTGCAAGCGACTTATTAACATTATGTCTTTTGTCCCCGTCTGTGGGCTAATGGATGTTTGTAATAGGATATTATGTCGAACTTCTATCCATCATCTGACAGGGCCTTAGGCTTGTTTTTAAAACACCGATTAGTTAAAATTTAGCATCATTCAAAACGGCCGCTTTGCCGACCTGTCCAAATTTTAAAAATTAACATACCTATTCCCAGCATATGCTCATATTTTTTAATTAGTCGATGCAGTTTATAGATTCGATGGCTCTCCCTATTTCGGATTTTATCACTATTTGTGACTTTTTAGAATTAAAAAATCTTAGCGCTGCAATTAATTTGATCAGTATATACGTAGCCACGAAAGCTTTGTATCTAAAACTAATTTTATAGATCGAATTCAGCGTATTACTGCCGAAGCTCTTGGTAGAGATATCTCTGTTTTGAATCAGGAAGTTAAACTGTTGATCCCGTGATGTGTCTATTTTTACAACCCATGCACTCGTATGCCTTCTCTCAGCTCCCCTAGCCATATACTTTCTAAAGTGAATGAGATGTTGCTTCTAGCTCGTTAGTAATATTATTCGGATAACTTGCAGCGCCACATCGCACGTTTGTAAGCACTTTTTAGAGTACCTCATTTGGTTTCAATTATTTTCAATAAAATATAAATCAAGGTTTTTAGCACTACCTAGTAACGCAAATAGATTTCGAGACATGTGGTACAATAGGTGCAAAGTCATCGCGTGGAATGTAAAATACGACCTGCAGTTTAATTTTGATATCCTTATTTGGTGATGAATTCAACAGGGTTTTATGAAGCAAAAAAATCAGTAATTTGTGTGATAGCTTAGTGGTTTTAATTATATTTTATGCGCATTGGTTTCATCTTTCAGGCAAGTTGGGTCAAGAATTCATACGTATAAGTATCTCCCTCACTTAATCATATACGACCACTGTAAACTGTTAACACCTTCCAATTAATCTAAGCAGCGTGCTTATAAAGTTCTAGCATCTTAAAACTTAGTAGCTTGATTTAATTAAATAACACCTTTTCTATGCCTTGTATTACCGCACGCTGCTTTCAATTAGTATTTTTTCAGACGAAAGCCACTCCTATTCACGTAATAAAAGGAGTCTTTCAAATGCCTGTGTTCATCGAATGTTCAAAGCCTAAACCATTTGCCATATGACTTGAAATATTAAATAGTAGTGCAAAATATCACATTTCTCTATTTAAATGTCCCTAATCTTGTTTGATAATGGCCACCAATAAGTATAATAAGTAAATAGAACTATGCGTAAATACCATATATAGGCGATCGCGTACACTCAAAATTAACCTAAGAAATTTGTAATAAACGTCAACGCTCTGGCTTTCTTATTACAAATTTGGCAGGATGTAACTACTGTAATCAGGATTAATAGTGCAATAGAGCATTCAATGTAGCTTATGCATTTCAGGAAAAGTGAAGTGAACGTTGGGTGTAGTTGTAAGTGTTCTCGGTTTACTCATTTCAATAGGGGTAAACATACGACCCTCCCGGTTCAAATACTGAGTGGTTGTTTGCTCAGTCTTTTTGCTTTTATTTTCAGACTGTTAATTTTTTTCATCATTAAAGCGTATAGCTGATAATAACATGCTTTCAGTAGTAAGTTTGTTCTCTTTCAAACATTTCAGGGTGCTTCTTTTAGTTTTACGCCTGAGCCAGTCCGGGCGCATAAATGTAATTTTTGGGCATGAAATCATGTCAGTGACTGACACTGCACTTTTAGTAGAATGCCGTACACATTTCCATTGCACCTGTTCCTTCTGGTTGATTTTGCACCTCACGAAAATTTGAATGATATGTATGACAAGCAATCCAG